TCTCTACCCCTTCCCAACTCTCTCCATTGCTTTTTTTTTTTTTTCTTTTTGGGTCACACCCGGCGATGCACAGGAGTTGCTCCTGGTTCATGCACTCAGGAATTAACTCCTGGCGGTGCTCGGGGGACCATATGGGATGCTGGGAATCGAACCTAGGTCGACTGCGTGCAAGGCAAACACTCTACCCTCTGTGCTGTTGCTCCAGCCCCCTCTCCATTGCTTTTTTCTGTTTGATTTTGGGAAATTCTCAGCAGTGCTGCTTAGGGTCGGCTCTCAGGAATCACTCCTTGAGACTGGGGGACTATATGGGGTGCTGGGCATCAAACCTGGGTCATCCATGTGAAAGGCAAGTACCCTACCTGTTGTACTTATCTTTCCAGCCCCCCTCGTGTGTCCTCCCCTTACATTCTTATCCATTCATATATATCTATTTTTTGGGGGGGGGGCGGGGGCCTTTTGGGTTACACTTGGTAATGCTCAGGGGTTACTCCTGACTCTGCACTCACTGGTGGTGCTTGGTAAATCATATGAGATGTCAGAGATTGAACGTGGGTTGGCCCTGTGCAGGGCAAACACCCTACCCTCTCTACTTCTCTGGCCCCATATATCTATTCTTTCTCTTTGATATTTTGTTTGATTGGTCTCTCCCTTTTTTATTAACTATATATTTTTTGGGGGGAGTGAACATGATAGCTTTTTTTGAGCAGAATTTTCATAGGAAGACATGAAGAGAGAAGAAGAGGAAGTAAATATTCAAAAGAACATTGGGCTCCTCTAGAATGGAAAAAAACAAGCAAAGAGACATAGAGACAAGCAAGTGATATGTGTTCAGTGGAGAAAGAACATAGGCTTCAAGGGTAAACCTGTCTCTCTCTTTTCATTACAGTCTCTTCTGGTTAGGCTCTAGATCCCAAGCACCCTGCCTTTTTTAGGACACGATTTCCTTATTTTCTTATCTCTCGTTATTATTTTAGACCTTCATGGCCTTTATAATTTTATCCTTTATTTCTTCCTCTTTCATCTAATTATCAGGTTCCTTTTCCCTTCCTTCCTCTCCTCCACTCCAGTGATTTTACACTGCTAAGGCACCAGCCTGCTGAGGCAGCAGTTGCATCAGAACGATGCTGGGGATTGAATTTTGTAACTTTAGGCCTGTCATCCAGGTATTCTGTTACTGAACCACCCCTCACCTCAAGCTCTGATAATTAAATGTCTTCAAAATTGTTTTAAGATGATCAGATAGTTTAGAAAATTCCCAAGCTATAAAATTACAAGGACCTTCTAAGCACTAATCACCCAGCTCAGTCATCAACCATATATTGCATATTTTTAAAACTTTGAACTTTCCTCCTTTTGAAAAATAATTTCTATAGAAAACCTGAAAATAACAATCTTATTAAGTTAACAGCAATTATTTAATATCAAATAACTACTATAATAATGTTTCCTAAGTCTATAAATTTGCACTTTTGCTTTAATCAGAAACTAAATAAGGCCTACTCATTTTGTCAGCTGCTTTTACATATCTCTTATAATCTAGAACAAGGGTTTGCAAAGTATTTTGTTTGTTTTGATTTTGGGCCACACCAGCCTTGCTAAGGACTTACTTACCTCTGGCCCTGTGCTCAAGGATCACTTCCTGGTGGCTGGGAGAACCATATACAGTGCAGGGGATCATACCTTGGTCAGCTGCATGCAAGGCAGACACCTTATCTTTTCTACTATATCTCTGGTCCTTTTGGTGTATTTTTGGTTGGGGTTTGTACCATGTTAGACATTGCTTATGGGCTACTTCTAGCTCTTTGCTTGGTGGTCACTCCTGGAAGTGCTTGGGGTAACTGGTGGGGATGAATCAGAGTCCATGGCATGCAAGGCCAGTGCCTTGTCCCCCATAATATTTGTCCCAGAGACCTGCTTCCTTTAAAAAAAAAAACCAAACCTTTGAACATGTAAATGTTTCCTTAGCTTGAGGGCATACAAAAGCAGCTCGTACTTGACTTATAAAGGAGGCATTTCCAACCTTGATTCAAAACATGCCTCCACACTTGCGTCTCTTCATCAACTTCTTTTAGAAACTGAGTCATGCTCACATTCTGAATTTTACTGATGGTTTCATCATGGTGATTTTTAAAAATTTCCTCTCCCCCTTGTATTTCCCTTTTGATAAAGCAGGGACTAGGGAGTGCTCCTTGGCTGATTCTGGTGCTAACACATTTTTTATATGTGGTGCTTGCACACCCCACTGTGATATGCATGAGGTTTACTCTTCTCTTAGTTGTAGTGCATCCATCTGTGCTCACCCTGGCTTGTGGAAGCACACAGATATGGTTGTACTGCTCGCCAGGGCTTGTCCGTTGTACTTGCACATCTTTGTAGTGGCAGTGCTCACTGGTCTCTCCTGCTGTTGTGGTGCTTGTGCACACTGACTGTGATGTGGCTGGAAGTTTTTTCCTCTGGGTGTCTCCAACAGCAGAACTGTCAGGACTGCTCTTGAGGCATGTGGAATACTGACAATTTGAACTCTTTTGACAAAAAACTTTGTGTGAGGCTGGTTCTTTAAGCCCATGTACTGTTGGCTACTGGCATTCTTTTTTTTTTTTTTAATTCTCACCTCAGTTTTTTTTTTTTTAATTTTTGTTAGCTCATCTCAATATTTTTGTAGGCAGGGATTAGTTTATGCGCAGTTAGTTTTCTTTATTTTTGGGTTTGGGGCTACACCCAGTGGTGCTTAGAACTCTGCTCATGGATCACTCCTAGCAGGGCTCAGGTAACCATGTGTGGTGCTGAGGTGCTGTAGGTGACCAAATGCAGGTCAAGTGCTACATGCTAGTCAGGTGCCCTAACTGCTATATTATTTCTCCAGTCTTCAGTTGGATTTAAAATCAAATTTTGTTTATTGTTGCAGGAATACTTTAGTAGGGTTTTGTTTGTTCTATCACACAGAGGACAACTCCACATAGAGTTAACTCACTTTTTGTGGACTCTGGTAGTGATTGCTGGTATTTTGCCTGACAGACTGTTTTTATTTTACTATTGATTTACACTGTGAATCACTTCATCATAGGTTGCAAAATTTGATTTTCACTTACCATTCTTTCCTCACCCAGCAGGACTTGGGCTTACTCTTGGCTCTGTCATCAGGGATCACTCTCTCAGTGCTTGGGGTACCATACATGGTGCAGGTGGTTGAATCAGGGTTAGCCACATGCAAGGCATATGTGCCATCCTTTGAGGCATCTCCTGTCCCCTCCATAAAACTTAATTTAAAAAAATTTTAAAACTTCACTGTCTCACAGGATTTGCTTAGGATTTTTTATGGTAGCTGACAGAAATTCAGATTACAATAGATTCAGCAACATGGGGATTCTTTGTGAGGGTTATGTAAGTGCAGAAAACACTGGAGCGTTAACTGGGTCTCAGAGAGACATAGAACCAAGATTTGAAATAAAGCCGGTATTTTCATTACCACCTCCTTTGTAGATTGTCTCTTGATTCTCATCTCACTGCGTAATGTGGTGATTGGAATTTGAATTGTGTTGTTGGGGAGCTGATATTTCACAAAATATTGTTAACTGAACTTTGTGTATTATCAGAATAGTAGAATGTGAGGGCTACCCATGTGCAGAGACGTTTTAACATGATTTATATCATCTGGCTTATGTTTGGTGTTTGCTGTCAGCATAATCTTGAAGCCACTTCTTTCTTGGAACTGTGCTCAGCTCTTTCAGTAACATGCTGATGTTTGAATTTCCCTTCTCTGCTCCAGTTTACTAGCCTGTCTTCTTTTGTCTCATTTAATTTTTAGTTTTTTCCTTAAACACTACTTTCTAAGGTGGGGGAAAAGCTTTCTGTCCTTTCAGATAGGGTTGTGTATTCTGCCTATGGTGTTCTCATATCATAAATTCTTTCTTTGCCATTATAGAACATACAATCACATTGCATAGTACTTTATTTGTTTACTGGTTATACCTATTAGTATTTTCCATGCAAATAGAAACACTGGTCATGCTCTTTTTCTCTCTTATCTTCATTGCTAAGCACTGTGTGGTAAAAAGTAGGCACTTGGTAAAATGCCTAAAATTTCTCTCATGAGAAATAATTCCAGTGATTATATTATTATTATTATTATTATTATTTTATTAGTGAAGCACCATGAGGTACAGTTGTAGATTTACAAATCTTTGTGCCTGAGTTTCGGTCATACAATGATCAAATACCCATCCCTCCACCAGTGCCCATTTCCCCCCACCCCCCCTCCCACCCTGCCTCTGTGGCAGGGCATTCCCCTTTGTTTTCTCTCTCCTTTTGGGTGTTGTGGTCTGCAAAAGAGGCATTGAGTGGCAATCATGTTCAGTCCATAGTCTACTTTCAACATGCATTTCCCCTCCTGGGAGGATCCTCCAAACACCCTTTATTTGGTGTTCCCTTCTCTATCTGAACTGCCCTTTCCCCTAGAATATCCGGCTGGCCTCTAAGTTATGGAGTAATCCTCCTGGTGTTGATCTCAGCTATTCTTAGGTATTGATCTCATATTTTGTTGCTTTATATCCCCCAGATGAATGCAATTTTTCTATGTCTATCCCTCTCTTTCTGACTCATTTCGCTTAGCATGATACTTTCCATATTGTACCACTTGTATGTAAATTTCATGACTTCATCTTTTCTAAGAGCTACGTAGTACTCCATTGTGTAGATGTACCAGAGTTTCTTTAACCAGTCACAGTGATTATATTATTATTAGAATGTAGAAGTATAGGTAGTTTATATATATAACAAAATAGGTACCAAATTGTATTGAGAACTAACACTTATCTATACTTGATGAAAATCTTGATAGCATTCACAGTGGTTCTTAAGGTTAATAAATGTAGAAAATCCTGGTTACAGAAATTGCTTCAGTCTGATAGGGTAGTTGCTTAAATGCTTATGAACGCAATGTAGGAAAAAGGTGTTAGTTTTTTTTTTTTAAAATTCTGATTACTGTTTTCATTATTCTTAAGGTATCTTCACGTTTTAATGATCTTCTGGTCATTTGTTGCTGGAGTTGTCACATTCTACTGCTCATTAGGACCTGATTCTCTTTTACCAAACATATTCTTCACAATAAAACACAAACCCAAGGTAAATTTTATATTTTTTTAAGTGAGTTGAAAGCGTGTTAAAGAAGTGATTTTAAAGATCTATTTAATAATGGAGGACATTAGAAAACACTCAGAATGAATTTTACATGTCATTATGTAGTTCTCCTGGGAGGATCTATAAAACAAAATCCAGAATTATCAGAAAGTTGAATTTCATAATTTAAAGTGTGATCTATCTACATAGTAACTTGCAGGCAGTAAATAAAAACATAGGTTCCTGAAGCTGGTTATGTGATAGAATTGCCAGTGGAATCTTTACAAAAAGTAGTTTTCTAGACCCTGTTGTCAGATTTTTTTTTTAAAGAACCCAAATTTTTATTTATTCATTTATTGCATTTGAAGTATTCCTCAATGACATCTTGGCCTGTGTGGTTTTTTTTTTTTTTTTTGCCAGAGTCTCTAACTATAACCCAACTGCAGCCACCCACTTTACAGGGTTTTCCTTCTTTCAATTTTACAGAGTCTGATCCATTCCCCTAGTTTCTTGTTACCATCTATCTTAGTAGGGTTGATCTGGTGTTCAGCACAAAGGGTCTTCACAACTTGATATACATAGACTCCTCACACAAAGTTGAGTGCATGCACACAAAGATGGACTGGTGTTTGCTTAAGGCTTTGGCAGTTTCACGGGGATTCCTTGTGTGATATCATTGTGAATGAGAGCAGTCTTCAGCACCTCTTGTAAAGCAACACTCTTGTCCATTACACCTCTAGCAACGGTTCCTTTTTTGGCCTTGGTGGATTACAGGTACAGTGGAATCTTGAATGCACCCAAGCCTCGTCCACTGCGCAATTCCATGGCGGCAGGGAAATAGGAGATTTTGATTAAATAATTTTGGGTCAGGACCTTGTAACAACATTTGTTAAATTAAAAATTTTAATGATTACAATTAAACCTTGTAATCAATACTTTAATTAAAAGTTTTCCAAGCCTTTTTCAGGCACAGATGCAATTAGGGAATCTGAGTTAAATTACCTAACGCTTTTAATCCATTTGCTCCATAGAAATACTGTATAGTTTGCTTAGTCAAAGCAATTTGTATTTCTGAAATTTGGTAAAGGGGTGGGATATTGAATGTTTCTCTAGTAGGTAAAGGCCATAGTTAATAGATGAGGATTTGAAGTCTTTGATAATTATCCAAAGTACTACTTCAGATTTGATGGCATTTTCACTCAGAGGAAATTTAGCTGAAGGTGTTGCCTATTTTCAGTCTGGCACTTTAATAGCTTATCACTTATCTTCTTTCACAGTAAAGTTGAGGTTTGGGAGAAATAGAAAATATTTTTTCTTTTGCCTTTCTTTACACTAGAATATTACTTTAAAATTGAGATTGACACTCAAAGGTATACAACCACAACAATTCAAATTTTATTTTTAATTAAAAAATTGTTTTTTTTGGGGGGGTGGGAACATCTGCCAGTGCTCACGGGTTGCTTCTGGTTCTGCACTCAGGGTTCACTCAGGGACCATATGAGATGCCAGGGATCAAATGCCCTGCCTGTTGTACTATAGCTCTGGCCCCAATTCACCTTAATTCTAAACTTAGAAATTTGTCTTACTTATCATCAAACATTTCAAACATTTCATTAGGCATTTTTTTGTCAGTTGATAGTTTAGTTTGCAACTGTTATGTATTACAAAGTATTATTTCAGTATCTAAACAGATAGGAATAAAAAATGTCCTGAACTTAAGCATTTTTGAGTTCTTTAAAGGTTTATTCTTGTTAATACAGTTGATATATAAAGATAAACTTTTTTTTCCCCCAAATTTTCCTTTTTTAGCAATTAGGAGTTCAAGAATTATTTCCTCAAGGTCGTAGCTGTGCTGTTTGTGGTAAAGTGAAATGTAAACGACACAGGTAACTTAAATGAGCATTTTTATTTGTTAATCTTCCCAATTATATTTTAGGTTCAAAAGATTTAATTGTCTGATTTTCTTTAGGCCTGCCTTGTTACTTGAAAACTACCAGCCATGGCTAGACTTGAAAATTTCATCTAAGGTGGATGCATCCCTTTCAGAGGTAATAGATTTAATATGCCCTATACATTCAAATGTAAAATGTTAAGTATCTGTGTAAATTTAATCATGAAACTTTTCTGTAAAATTTTTTTTGAGAGGTCACACCCATCAACGTTCAGGGCTTATTTCTGGCTCTGCGCTCAGGAATTACTCCTGGCAGTACTTGGGGGACCATATGGGATGCTGTGGATTGAACCCATAGGTCGTGTGCGAGGCAAATGTCATACTCTGTATGATAGTATGATAGTACAAGTGTGGTACTGCTACTACTACTACTATCGCTCCATACTAGTACTGTCGCTCTGGTCCATGAAACATTTTTATTTTGTTTTGTTTTTGGGGGGCCACACCTGTTGGTGCTCAGGAGCTCTTATCTCTTTGGTTCTCCAAGGATCAAGTAAGGGTTCTGCCACATGCAAGACATGTGCCTTGACTCCTGTACTCGGTCCATCATGGAACATCTTTTTTTAAATTTTTTTTATTTTTTGCTTTTTGGGTCACACCCGGCGATGCACAGGGGTTCCTCCTGGCTCTGCACTCAGGAATTACTCCTGTCAGTACTCAGGGGACCATATGGGATGCTGGGAATTGAACCCGGGTCGGCCGAGTGCAAGGCAAATGCCCTACCCGCTGTGCTGTCTCTCCAGCCCCATCATGGAACATCTTATTAAGTTGTCTAATTAGTTCTTGGTGGTTAGTTGATTAGGAAATCCACATTTTGTTTCCCAAAATACTGCGAAGAGTGTCTCCTGCAATGTTGCACAGACCTTGGAGTAACTGTAGCCAGTACCAGGTGTTATCCAAGAGCCAAAACAATTCCTCACATCACAGAAGCACACAAATGTAACAACTGATAAGTTAAAAAAATGTTTTTGGATATTCTCTTTACATGGATTTTTAGCCAATATTTTCATTTTTTGTTTTTTTGTTTTTGTTTTATATTTGGTGGGGCCACACCTAGTATTGCTTGGGGATGCTATGTAGTGCTGGGATTTGAACTAGAGCTGTGGCTGCCTGCTAGCGAAGTGCTTTAACCTTTGTATTATTTCTCTAGCCCCACCTAGTTATTTATATTTTGTTTTGTTTTTTGGGGGGGCCATACCCAGCAGTGCTCAGGACTTTCTCCTGGCTCTGTATTTAGGAACCATTCCTGGTAGGCTCAGGGGACCGTTTGGGGTGCTGGGGCTTGAACCTGGATCAGCTGCTTGCAAGGCAGGTGCCCTAATAGTAATTCTTATAAGACAGGAGAAAGACAGAATTTTTTTTTTCTGGGTCACACCTTGTGGTGCTTAGGGACTGTTCATGCATCTGTGCTCAGGGGTTACTCTCAGTGGTACCATGCATGTTCTTGACATAATGATCTGCTGCTCGACTATTTTCCCAACCATTTCTACTGTTTTTAAAACTTAACTGCCTACTGTTGTTTTGTTTTGTTCTTGCTTTTTTTAAAGTAACATCTGATGATGCTCGGGAGTTATTCCTGGCTCTACACTCAGGAAATACTCCTGGAGATACTCGGGCCATATGAGATGCCAGGGATTGAACCTGGGTCAGATGCATACAAAACGAGTGCCCTACCTGCTGTAATTTTTTTAGCCTTTCACCAGTCATTTAAAAAATTAAAACATGTTTCTATACCTAAACTCAAACATTTGAAAGTTTAACGAGAGTTTCTTTTTTTCTTTTTTTCACACAGAACTTAATACTGGTTTTAAGCGTACAGTTAACATTTTTACAAAACTTACATGTTTAAGTCACTAACTCCATATAAAGAAACAAAGTATTGTGGCCTGGGAGATGGCTCAAAGGACTGAAATGCCTGCTTTGCATGCAGCTCCTTGTTCATTCCCAGCACTGCATGGTCTCCCAAGTACTGCCCTTGTGAATCTCCCTACCAAGTCCTTCCCACAAAAGAGTAGTGGAATATTATCAGCACCTCAGAAGTTCCCTTCTGGTCACTATTCTCCATTCAAAGGTAAACACTGGCACCTAATTTAGACTCCTTTTAAAATAAATTTTTTTACTTGGCTTTTGGGCTACACCTGGTGGTGCTCAGGGATTACTCCCCTGGTTCTGTGCTTGGGAATCATTCCTGGTGGGTCCTGGAGCACCATATGGGATGCCAGGGACAGAACCTGGGTTGGCTGTGTGCAAGACACATGCCCTGCCTACTGCATTGTAGCTCCAGTCCCTTAAAATAATTTCTAGCTACTTTTTCTTTCATTTTGTTTTGGAACTATTTGACTTACAGAGAAAGTTAGAAATACAAAGGACTAGGCTGTTACTATTTTTCTTTTTTCTACAGCACTTTTGTCCCCAGCAGGACTTCAGAGTCAGAAACAAGTTATTTAATTTTTTTATTCTTGCGGTAATATTTAGAAATGTGTATATCATTTTGTACTTGATATCAGCCAAAATATCAAGGAGCAATAAGTCATTCTTGGTGTTTTTTTTTTTTTATTTTCTGAACACATTCTCTCTCATCATCACAATGACTATGTAAGATTGACATCCACACGATTGTTATGTCAAAACATAATATTGAATGTCAGTATTTGGTGTCATAAAATTATTTTTGACAATAATGTATTTAGTGGTATATTTGATTTTCCCAGAATTGTTTGAATAATTTTATTTTTTTAAAAATAATTTTTATGCAGGTTCTTGAATTAGTGTTGGAAAACTTTGTCTATCCATGGTACAGGTATGCTCTTTCTCTTAAGTACAGTGAACCAATAATGTATATTGTCATAGCTTGTTAAAAATTAGGAGGCTGTCTTAATTTTGGAACCATTGACATTTTAGGCCAAGTAATTATTTAATATAGTGGGTTATTTTATACTTTATAGGATATTCAGTAGCTAATAGTTCCCTTCTTAGAGAAAATGTAGTCAGATTGTTCTTAGTTAAGAGCCACTCTATAGACCAGTGGTGTTTCTTGACTAGTCCACGGACTGATTTTGATTTGCAGGCATAGAAAGGGTTAAAAACCACTCATCTACCACCTTGGTTGTAACTGCCAGTCCCTCTGCCTAAATATCCTCGCCAGGGCCCAAACAGCTGAAGACCTCCAGGCCCCAGCCAAGGCCATACTGAGGCCACTCTCCACACACTTGGATAAGCCTCAGGCATAACAGAACTGGCAGAGGAACCCAGGTGTGTGGGACCCGGGGCTGAGATCTCCAAGCCTGCACGGTTTGGGACTGGACCTGTCAGTAGCTAGACAGTTACACCCTCTAACTGCCGTGTAACCCCAACAACTGCCAGGATCCAGAGATTATCACAACAAGCTCCCGGGAGTATTTATTTACTTTTCTCTAAGTTTTCAGGGTACCTTTCAATATCCCACCCGCACGGCAGAGCCTGGCAAGCTATCCGTGGTCTATGCCAAATAGACCAAATTGATATGCCAAATCCAGTAATAAATGGATCTCATTCCCCTAACCCTGAATATGGCAGAGTCGAGAAGGATATGGAAGGAAAGGCTGATAAAATACCAAGGCAGAAATAGGCTGCCAAAACAAAGAAAAACAAAAATGATTGTCTGTACTTTTAATGCTCGTACGCTGGCATCTACTGCATCCATTGACGACCTTATAGTACAAGCGCGAAAGATCAAGTACGACATCATTGGTCTGACCGAAACGAGAAGACATCAATCACATCATGCCGTTTTCGACACTGGAGAAGAACTGTTGGAACATGTGATGAAAGAGGCGTCGGTGGTTTCGGTATCCTTGTCAACACAAACTTAGCCACGAGCATTGATTCATTCGAATGCCTAACAACCCGAATCGGACGATTACACTTGCATAGATGTGGCTCACTACCGGCAGTTTCTATCTTTGTTGTCTATGCATCAACATCCAGTTATGGTAAAAGAGAAACTGAGAAGTTCTACATGGAGCTGGAGAAGTTCTATAAAGAAGATCACACCTTCTACAAGATCATTGTCGGTGATTTTAATGCCAAGATAGGACCAAGAAGATCAGTTGATGAACTCCACATCGGGACCCATGGCCTAGAATGGAACGAACAGGGTGACAGACTGTCTGAGTTCATCATGTCAACCAAAACCTTCCATGGTAACTCACAGTTCCAAAAGGCTGAATCTAAACGTTGGACATGGGAGTCTCCCGATGGACGGTTCCACAATGAAATAGACCACATCATATTCAATTGGCGGTTTTGCCTAACCGATGTTGCTGTTGTCCCAAAATTCCAAACGGGATCAGACCACCGTCTTCTTGGTGCAAAATTCTACCTCACAGAACGAGGAGAAAAGAATGCAAGGTTTAAGAAGAGGACTCCCAGAATGACCACCAACTGGGAGCTCTTTGGCTCTGTTGTGGCAACATGGGAAGATGTCGTCATTGACAACATTGATGAGGAATACGATCGAATGATTCAACACCTCCATGATTGTGCGAGGAATGCCAAGAGAGAGATAACCACAAAAAACCGCCTTTCTTCGAACACTCTTGAACTTATTCGCCAACGTGGCTTGGCACATGCCTCAGGCAACCACAAGCGAACATCCGAACTGGCAAAACAGTACAGAGAAGCCATCAAGGATAACCTCAAAAACAGGAGAGCAGCAGTACTGGTAGATGCGGCAGAAGCTGGGAAAAGCATTCGTAAAGCCCGCCTGTCCTTCACCAACTACAAAACCAAGATGACTGCCCTCCGACATCATGATGGATCTATGACATCTTCCAGAAGGGCAATGGAGAAGATTATTCATGACTTCTACTCAGATCTGTTTAATAGCCACATCGACTTGCCCACATACCACATACCACATGATGGATATGTCGTTCCCAATGTTCTCCCTTCCGAAATCCAACATGCCATTTCGTCGGTAAAGAAACAAAAAGCACCTGGCCCAGACAAGATCAGACCTGAACACCTGAAGAACTTACCACCAGTACTCATCAATACATTGGCTCGGCTCTTCACATGCTACCTGTCTGAATGCAAGGTTCCATCCCAATGGAAAACCAGCAGGACTGTATTACTATACAAGAAGGGAGACATCCACGACATTGGCAACTATCGCCCAATCTGCCTATTGTCTGTCATCTACAAACTGTTCACTCGAGTCATCCTGAATAGGATTAGCAGATCACTAGATGAAGGACAACCATGTGAACAAGCTGGATTCTGAAAAGGATTCAGTACCATCGACCATATCCACACGATTACTAAGCTCATTGAGGTTTCTCGGGAGTTCAAAATGCCGCTCTGTCTAACGTTCATTGATTTAAAGAAGGCCTTTGATTCTGTTGAGACGGAAGTGGTCATGGAAGCCCTAGCCAATTAGGGCATACAAACTCAATACATCAGGATCCTTCGTGAGCTTTATTGTGGATTCACTACCAAGATCTCACCATTCTACAAAGAAGTAATCATCCATATCAAGAGAGGGGTTCGGCAGGGTGATACCATTTCACCAAAACTCTTCAGTGCCACCCTCGAGAACATCAGGCGACGACTGGAATGGGAAAGCATGGGAGTGAAGATAGATGGTCGGCAACAACACCACCTCCGCTTTGCTGATGACATCGTTCTAATAACACCAAACATCAGCCAAGCGGCACAAATGCTGAACGACTTTAACCGTGAATGTAGAAAGGTCGGACTACAGCTGAATCTTATGAAGACAATGTTTATGAGAAACAGCCTTGTTCCTGATGCTCCATTCGCTCTCAACGGAACCACCATCTCCGAATGCAACAGTTATATATACCTAGGTCGAGAAATCAACATGATGAATGACCTGGCACCTGAGTTGCGCAGGAGGAAGAGAGCGGCTTGGAATGCCTTCAAGAATGTTGAAGAAATAACTAAAAGGACAAAGAACCTCCAGCTACGAGCACATCTCTTTGATTCCACTGTTCTTCCTGCATTAACATATGCCTCAGAGACCTGGACCCTACGAAAACAGGATGAGAACGCTATTCGGATCTCTCAAAGAGGAATCGAAAGAGCTATGCTTGGAATATCACGATTCACTCAAATGAGAGATAGAATCCGGAGTTCTGATCTTCGTCAGCGCTCAAGAATCAGGGACCCTGTCTCATTTGCCAAGACATCAAAAATCAAATGCGCTGGACACGTAATGAGGTTTACAGACAACCGCTGGACTAGAGCCATTACTGATTGGATTCCACGGGACATCAAAAGATCACGTGGACGCCCACTTACAAGATGGTCAGACTTCTTCGTCAAGACCCTGAATGATCGGTTTGAGGCTCTGCATGTTCCTAGAACAAACAGATACCATTGGGCTACGCTAGCACGCAACCGGGATGAATGGAGATGTTACTGGCACCCGCTCGAGTAAATGGATGAATAACGGGGATTAAGTGATTAAGTGATTAAGTAAATAAGGTAAAGGTAAAGGCCCTCCCATTGTTCGTCGATTTGCTCGAACGGGCCCAGTAACGTCTCCATTGGAGATTTTGTTGTTACCGTGTTTGGCATATGGAATACGTCACGGAGAGCTTGCCAGGCTCTGCCGTGCGGGCGAGATACTCACGGTAGCTTGCTGGGCTCTCCGAGAGGGGCGGAGGAATCGAACTCGGGTCGGCCATGTTGGCTGCGTGCAAGGCAAACGCCCTACCGCTGTGCTATCGCTCCAGCCCATAAGTTTAGTAATAGCAAAGTGAAAACAACTTTCAGACTTCTTACCCACTTCCCCTTCCATCTTTTTTTAGTCTCTTGGGCTACTCTGGGCAGTTCTCAGGAGATCTCTTGCAGGCTCAGTGCTTGGGTCACAACCAGCAATGTTTGGGGGACTAGGTGTTGCTGGCCCCCCACACCTCTATCCCTTTGAGCTATCTACTTGATCTTGAAAACTCTTTCGAAAGAAAGTAAGGTGAAATTTCCCTTCATTCCTATAGTGCACAGACACACACACACACACACACACACACACACACACACATTACTTTATTATATTGAAAGACAATTTCAATAGTATTTTTCCTGGAAGTTAAATTACTTAGTTTTACAAAGTAACTTGTTTTTGCTTATTTGTGATAGATATACAAATAGCCTAAGCCAGGGCTGGAGAAACAGTATAGTGGGTGTGTTGCTTTGCATGCATCCACCCTGGATTAAACCTCTGGCACCCTATATGGTCCCCCAAGCTCATTCCAGGAGTGATCTTTGAGCACAAAGCCAGGAGTAATTTTGAGTGCTGCTGGGTGTGGCTCCCCCTAAACTAAGAACTCTCTTCCCCAAATGAAATACTCCAAAATATCCTAAGCTTTTCAGGTTCTAGAAAACACTCTAAGTCTGAAAGAAATTTTATCACAATTCTGTATTGATACAGTATATTTGAATTTTTTTAATTTTTAAAATGTAAATATCTAGTATTTTTAAAAACCATGTGAATTTTTTTTTTTTTGAGTGGGGGCACAGGTTATTCCTGACTCTGCTCTTAGGAATCACTCCTGGTGGGCTCAGGGGATGTTAGTGGGATGCTGGGGATTGGGCCACATGGAAGGCAAGCACCTCACTGTACTGTCTGGCCCCATGAATTTTTTAATTCTGTCTTAAATATGGCCATTTGCCATTTGAGTAAAGCTGATGGTGAGGAATTTTATAAAATGAATCCTGGTTTATTGCCCCTTGCAGCTCACTTTTATCACTTTCAGACAGGAAATCTATGTGTAAATGTTAAAATATGTATTTTCTCTTTAGTATAGCTATTGCTGCTGTAATAGCCTCTTCTCTTGAGGTAATAGTAGGAAGTCTGGTTGACAAAGCTCTCTTGTGCAAGGGGTCATCTACTAGTTCAGGATATGCACTTTTATCTTTCATAATGTGATGCATTATTTGTATATTAAAAGTAAGTTAACGGTACAAGGGAAGTTTAGATTTTGCCTTTCCTTGGTCTCTAGAAGTAAAGCAAGTGTATTTCCTTTAACTTACAATGTTCGCTTTTCTCCTCAATTGAAGGGATGTAACAGATGATGAGTCCTTTGTTGATGAACTGAGAATCACATTAAGGTTTTTTGCATCTGTCTTAATACGAAGGATCCATAAGGTACATATTTTAATATGAAATGTGGGGATTTGGGCTTTATCATTGCTAAAAATATTTTTGAAAGTCTGTCTTTGCATCACTATATTGAGAGATAAATGGGTTTATACTATACTGATTTCTAGAAAGTTGCTTAATTTTTTTAAGTTTCACAGGAGTTAAAGAGCAAAGATTAGGTGAGGGTCATCTTATTCATAGTACCATTTTTTTTTTTGCCACACCCAGCTGTGCTCAAGGCATACCTCTAGTTCTGTACACAGGGGTCACTCCTGGCCTGCTTGAAGAACCATATATGTTGGTTCTGATTGAAATGGGTTGATAGCTTTTGCAAGGCTAAACCTTATCCCTGTACTATGTCTCTGACCCTGATAGCTTGTTCTTTTTTTTTTTTTTTTTTTGGTTTTTGGGTCACACCCGGCGATGCTCAGGGGTTACTCCTGGCTCTTCACTCAGGAATTACTCCTGGCGGTGCTTGGGGGACATACAGTATGCCAAGGATCAGACTCAAATCAGCCGCATGCAAGGCAGATGTCCTACCCGCTCCAGTAGCTTTATTCTTGACATTTCTTTATGTTGGTTTTTAAAATACATTAAAGAAAAATATCCGCTAAAAGCCACTAACTTATCATTACCTTGAAACTATAAATTTGTATTTGCTAAAATTATGTGAAAATGAACTTTTAACTTAGCATACAAGTTGAATCCTCTTGGGACCAGAGAGATACTATAGTGGGGAGGGTTTTGTCTTACACGTGACCAACCCAAGTTGATTTTGACACTGCATGTGGAACCCTTAGCCCCAGCAAGAGTGATCCCTGAGTGCAGAGCTAAGAGTAAGCCCTGAGCACTGCTGGGTATGCTAATACTACCCTCTGGGGAAAAAAGAAAAACAGAACTAAAAAACAGCCCAGACAAGATGAATCCTGTTTTTCAAGTGCCTGAAGGTACTCTGTTTTGGGATAATACTAAATTACATCATTCTCCACAGATATGTCACTGTCACTGTCCTCCCGTTTTTCATCGATTTGCTCGAGTGGACCCAGTAACGTCTCCATTGTAACACTTGTTACTGTGTTTGGCATATCGAATACCTCACGAGTAGCTTGCCAGACTTTGCCGTGTGGGCGAGATATTCTTGGTAGTTTGCCGAGCTCTCCGAGAGTGGCAGAGAAATCGAACCTGGGTCAGCCGGGTTGGCCACGTGCAAGGCAAATATGCCCTACCCTGTGTACTATCGCTCCAGTCCCCCCAGATATGTAAAGGTTGGAAGCTGTAGTGATTATGTAGGTTAGTGAGGATGGATTGAAGACTTACATGTACATATCAGCAAAAGACAACAGAAACCTAAAATAAATTGCCAAAAGGCTGTACCTCGAAGGCACAATACTCTACATGACATACTTTGCCTTTATCAGAGGCATGAGAAAATTCCATGATAAGAAAGTTAAATTTAAGTGTGTCAGCTTTTTGTTTTTGTTATGTTTTCAACTCTGTATTTCAAAGTAGGAAAGAAAAAAACAGTAATAAATGTCTTGATTGTTACACTGTACAGTCTTTTAAGACAGTTATGAAAACTGTCTTGTTAGTATGGTTCAAGAATACAGTGCTTTAGTGCTTTAAAACTATAGTTATATATATATGCGTATATATACACATATGCATACATATGTATAAATGTGAAAGATCCATAAAGTACATATTTTAATATGAAATGTGGGGATTTGGAGATATCTATAGATAAGATCTATATATAGGAGCAGGAGAGATAGTACAGTGGATAGGGTATTTGTCTTGTATTCAGCCGACCCTGGTACAATCCCTGGCACCCCATATGTTCCCCTGAGCGTGGCTGGGAGTGATACCTGAGCACAGAGCCAGGAGTAGGCCCTGAGAACTGCTGATTATGACACCCCCAAAAAATAACCCCCCACCCCCATAAAACTCTGTGTATGTGTGTGTGTGTGTGTGTGTATGTATAATTTTGTTCACACCCAACAGTGCTCAGGAACTACTCATGACTCTATGCTTTTCGATTGCTCCCATTGGTACTAGGGGGTCGGGAATCATGAAGTGCTTGGGATTGAATTCCAGCCTCTTGCATATAGGTATGAGTTAAGACTTCTGAGCTCTCTTTCTGGTCCTTAAACTAATTTTGAAAAGTCGTATCTCATTTGGAGGGTGGGACAGTGGTTTGGGCCACAATTGGCTGTGCTTAGTACTCCTGACTCTGCTCAGATCACTTGGTGTGGCTTGGGGGAACCATATGTAGTACAGGGGATCAAACTGGGATTGACAGTTTGCAAGGCAAGCAACTTAGCCTTTTATGATCTTTTCTGGCCTATGTATCTGTTTTTTTAAGATTTTATGTTCTGGTATTTTATGTGCAGTGTTCCATTGTAACAGGTATAATAGTTTCTAAAGTTCTATTTTGATGTTGATGATTTTTTTTTCTAGGTGGATATTCCATCTATTATAACCAAGAAACTGTTGAAAGCAGCAATGAAGCATATAGAAGTGATAGTTAAAGCCACTCAGAAAGGTAAGAGTGTTTTAATTTTTAGAATAAAGTCACTTTTAGTATAAACTTTAAAATGTTAATATTCATATTTTATTTACTTCTTACCCTTCGCTTCACTTTTGGTATGAAGCCTGGGAGTTGCACACTTGGTTCCGATGTGCCAGAGTCGATGGGGCACAGAGGATTCCAGTGACAGTGCAACTGGAAGCCAGGCCATTTTTATGGGCCACACAGCTGTTGCTCAGGTATTGTTCCTGGAGGTGGTTGGGGGCCACATGCAGTCCTGGGGATTTAATTGTGGTTGGTTTCAAGTCAAGTCACTTGACCTCTGTACTATCTTCCTAGCCCTAATTCTTGGTGCTTTAATTGTGGTCATGACCCTACATGGGTTCATGTAACTGTATGTGTGGGATGGAAGTTGGGAAAATTTTGTCTTAAAATAAATCTATGGGCTGGAGTAGTATCGCAACCAGCTAAGTCCGTGCTGTTCATGTGGGAGATACAGGTTCCATTGTCTGCACCAGCTGCTTTCCTGAGCACTACCAAGGCAGAGCTGGGGGTAATTTCTGAGTACTGCAGATGTCCAAAACCCAAAACAAGCAAATGACAAAAATGTATGACTCATTATCAGTAAATGTTTGAATTGTGTATGTATTTTATATACCTGGGGTCATGGAAAAAACTTCTTAAGCTGAGAGGGGTTTTAGACCTTGTGGGTTGGTACCAAACTTGAGGCCTCTTGGTTATAGGGCAGGCACCCTACCACTAACTCTTGTCCCTGGCCTCAGTAGTTTGTTAGTCTTGCAAGTGATTGTGAAAGCTCAAGAACACGTTAAAATTAAAATGTAGTTAACTTTTATGTTATTGATGGCTTTCATCTTTCTTCCTGAGTGATAGTCTGTAACCTTCATTATCTCCTTTGAGATATCTTTCATATCTCTTACCCTTTTATTTTGTATAATTTCAGTTTTAACTTGTTCTGATTCATTCTGTGTATTGCTACCCTGTTAATTTTACAATACCACTATTCTTATGTTAGCTCCCTTCTTCTAAGAAATATTTCAGGACTTCTCTAGAGCCTAAACTATATATTTAAACCCTTGTCCAAAATTTTAATACACTGTTTATATCTGTACATTAAATTTTAGCTTAGTATAATTACCTGCCTACTGTTTCTCATGTGTGTCATGGCATTTTTATTGTCATAATTTTTATGCAGCATTTTTTCATTTTCATTTCATCATCCTGTTATTCGTCGATTGCCTCGAGCAGGCCCCAGTAACGTCTCTTTCATCCTAGCCCTGAGATTATATTCAAGGCTATTTAGGAGAAAGAGACCCTTCATTGTTACTGGTATCTGGCATATTTGGTACGCCACGGGGAGTTTGCCAGACTCTGCCCTGTGGGCAGGCTACATTCGATAGCCTGCAAGTTTTTCCAAAGTAGTAATGAGACAATAAGATGTCATAAAAAAAAGTTCTGATAAGATGCAGCATATGTTCAGTAATTTTTTTTTTTGTGCTTTTTGGGTCACACTTGGCGACGCACAAGGGTTACACCTGGCACTACACTCAGGAGTTACTCCTGACGGTGCTCAGGGGACCATATGGGATGCTGGGAATTGAACCTGGGTCAGCTGCATGCAAGGCAAACACCCTACCCGCTGTACTATCTCTCTAGCTCCAGTAAATGTTTTCTGATTGAATGAGTGAAATCTTGACTTGGCATTTGATGTTAGGTTAAGCTAAAATGTCTTCCCTTTATTTTTTAAATTTTTGCGGGGGGTCACACCCGGCGATGCACAGGGGTTACTCCTGGCTCATGCACTCAGGAATTATTCCTGGTGGTGCTTGGGGGACCATATGGTATGCTGGGAATTGAACCCGGGTCAGCCACGTGCAAGACAAACACCCTACCACTGTGCTGTCACTCCAGTCCCAAATGTTTTCCCTTTAAACAAAAGTGCTTCTGTGCTTCATACCTGTTTTGCAAAATAAATAATCTCTATCTGTCAGTGGAGTGCCCTAAGGATGTTCTGGAGAATACTTTTTTATTTTGTCGTTTGTAAGGCCAGTCTTGTTCAGGCCTTGCTCCTGGATCTTTGCTCAGATTACTCCTTGAGGGTTTGGAGGACCATATGTGATGTTGGTGATTGAACCCAGGTTGGTTGTATGCAAGGCAAACACCCTGCTCACTGTACTATCACTCCAGTCCCTATTCTGGAGAATACTTAAGACTGTGTAGAAGGCCATGTAGAATAGATGGCATGATTTATTTGCTTATTTATTTGGGGCAGGTGTAGGATATGCCACACTTGGTAGTGCTCAAGACTTTCACGCGATTCTGTACTCGGGGTTCCTTCTGGCAGTTCTGGAGTCCATATAGGGTGCAAAGGATTGAACTTGGGTTGACCAAAAACAAAGCAAGGTATCTCTCTGGCCCCGCTCGACATCGTCTGTGTTTACTATATATTGTATTCTCCCAGTTATTTACCAATAAGGACTGACATGCCAAAAATTCATGAGTAGTTCTGTGGCAAAGAAATTGCTTAAATATTAACTCAGCACTTCTCAAACTCATTTGTGTTTAGAAACATGCAGCTATGAGACCATGAGTTTGATCCTTGGTGTCATCCTCATATGGGCATTCCCACATGTTGGGAACTCTGCTGTTTGGGACTTTTGACATCACAACAGTGTGTGCAACCCCTGTATCACAGCCAGCTGTGTGTGTAGCTGTAGCATAAAAACACAGTTTAGTTTTAGGATAGATAATTTGTTTTTGTAGAGGATGAACAAGGTAAGACATTTGGTGCTTTATGTGAATGGTTTCTTCCCCCACCTTTAAAAAAATTTTACTTTTATAAATTTAATCTTTAAAAGAGTGATATAAGTATAAAATCTGGTTTCCCACAGGAAAAATTATCAATTCATTTAAAAGTTAGAAAAATTTTAAATGAACTTTAGATGTTTAGAACTTTGTGAACACCACAACTAACATTATTATGCTGAACACTGCAGCTAAAGTGTGTGAGAACCACAGTCCAGTGTATGAACACCATGGCAAGCTGTGATCCCTTGTCATCACAGCAATACTAATGACAACCAAAGGAAGAGAAATAAACCACTCATTCATCTCTTGATTTCTCATAACAAAAAAATACACAATTAACCAACACCAAAAAAGCCTGACTTATATTAATGAGCAAAAATAATTTCTATTCTATTTTAAAACAGTTTCTCAATGAAATACTTATTGGAATGAAAAAAGGTCTGGAAAGGAATGACTAGTGATTTTTCTAGGTTAGGGGAATTAGGTGAAGATATATATTGTTCTTTAATATTAATTTTTTAAAATCTATTTATAGTAGAAAATACAGCATTTTTACAGCAAGCAGCTTTGGAAGAATATGGTCCAGATCTTCATGTGGCTTTGAGGAGTCGAAGAGATGAATTACACTATTTAAGAAAACTTACTGAACTACTTTTTCCTTATATCTTGCCTCCTAAAGCAACAGACTGCAGGTATAAATAGATTAGAAATGTCATAACAGTATCTGCATATTATGCCATATGTGAATTGCTATTTTTAATCATAATAGGAGTACCCTAAAACTTGAGATTAGTTTATGATATGAATAATTTTTAATTAGAAAAGGTATTTTTTTAGGTCTTAAATGTCATCTTAGATATCACACTATTTATGATGTATTTTACTGCTTAGACTTTTTTCTTGGAGTGATCTTAGGAAATCAAAGATAAATGTGAATTAAATTGTTTTTAGATTTTTATACTTTGTTGGGCTGGAGCGAAAGCACAGCGGTAGGGCGTTTGCCTTATGAGCAGCCAGCCTGGCTGAGCCAGGTTCGATTCCTCTGCCCCTCTTGGACAGCCTGGCAAGCTACCGAGAGTATCTCGCCTGCACAGCAAAGCCTGGCAAGCTTCCCATGAGGTATTCAATATGCCAAACAGAGTAACAACATGTCTCAAAATGGAGACTTTACTGGGGCAGCAAATCGATGAACAGCGGAGGACAGTGACAGTGATACTTTGTTACTTCCTTAGTCTTTAGTATTAGTATTTGATGCTTCCTTAGTATATGGTATTAGTATTCTAGAGAATTTTGCATTATGACTCACTGACAGAAACACTTTGAACAAATTATACAGACAGACTGTTTTTTTTTTTTTTTTTTTTGCCGCATTTACCAGGCTGTGCTCAGGACTTACTCCTGGCTCTGTGATCAGGGATCATTCCTGGTGAGGCTTGGGGAATCATAAGTGGTGGTGCCAGGGATCGAATGTGGGTGGCTGAGTGCAAGAGCAAGCTTAAGTGCTTGCATCTTAATCCCTGTACCCTTTTAAGCCCAAAGTTTGGATGTTAAGGTATCCAGATGGGAATAGTAATGAGAACACCTAGTATTCTCCTTAGCTGGCTTATTTTCAGTGACGTACTTATTAAATATTTATTCGATTTTACTTTAGGTTTTTTAAATTTTCATTTGCTTTTTGGGTCACACCCAGCAGTGCTCAGGGGTTACTCCTGGCTCTGCACTCAGGAATCACTCCTGGCGGTGCTCAGGGGACCATATGGAATGCTGGGGATCGAACCTGGGTTGGTTGCGTGCAAGGCAAACGCCCTACCCATTGTACTATCACTCAGGCCCTACTTTTAAGTTTTTAATATTTTAATTTAGGGGGCTACCAAGTGGACTTAGGGACTTTGGGGACCACTCCTGGAGATTCTTAGTTAAGTGGGCTAGACAGTTTAGTACTACGGCCTAGTGCTGCTGTAGTTTTTGGGCTCCACAGTGCTCAGGGATAGATGGACATAATCCAGAGATGCTCAGGGATCTCCAGGGCCATGCTTGGTACAGTACTCCAGGGACCATGTTGTACTAGGGGATGAACTGAGTTCCTAACCTCAGTACTGTCTACCCAGCCCTATATATTAAATATTTCAATTAAATGTACTTAAGTAATTATGCTATTTGATATAATTGTAAGTATTGTTTTAAAAATATATATTAAACCTTTAAGATATCTCGAGGCAGGATATATTTTCTTGTGCTCTCATATTCTTTTTGCTCAGGAAGTGCTTTTTCTCCTCTTACATAGTATTTTTCTTTAGTCCATTAAAAACTAAAAATGGTGATCTATGAACCAGTAGCATAAGCATTGCTTGGCAGCTTGTTAGAAATGCAGAATCTTAGGACATACTCCAGACCTACCGAATTATAGCATGCATTTATTAAGATCCCCAGGTAAGAATTGATGTATATCACTAATAGTTAATGTATGCAATTATTATTTTTTTTTCCAGATCTCTGACTTTGCTCTTAAGAGAGATACTCTCTGGTTCATTATTTCTTCCGTCTTTGGATTTCCTAGCTGATCCAGTAAGATTCTTATTTAAAATTTTCCCCTACTTGTGGTAAAATACACAAAATTTACCATCTGAAGTATTTTACACATACAGATCAGTAGTAGTAATCTGTTGATGTTTTGTAGCAGTCACTACTACCCATTTCAAGAACTATTTTCATCTTGTAAATCTGTAAGTCTTTTGAAACTATACCTATTAAATTGTAATTACCTAACAAATGCTAAAGACAATAGAACTTGAGAACTGGTTTACAGAACTCAGATTATCATGGTGGGGGTGGGATGAGGGAAAACACTCTGGTGGGGAGTGTGGTATTGGAACATTATATGCATGAAGCCCTGATATTAACATACTGTAAATCACGTTGACTCAAAAAACAGCAAAAAAAAAATTCTTCCAATTCTCCTTCCTCCTAGCCCTGGCAATCACTCCTATACTACCTGCCTGCATTTGACCTACTTTAGGTACCTCATATAATTGAAATTAGATACCTTTTTTTTTCTGTGACTGGCTTATTTTGGTCAGGGTCGTGTCCTCAAAGGTTATTCCATATTATAGCATATATTGAAATTTCTTTTCAAGGCTAAAGAATATTCTATTGTAGATATATACCATGTTTTGCTTATCCAATCATCCATAGATGAATATTTGAGTAGTTTTTACTATTGGTCCAGTAAGATGTTAAAGAAGCACAAATAATCTATTAGATTATTATTACTGCTTTGGAGCACACCTGGCGGGGCCCAGAGTCTGCTTCTGACTTGGTGTTTGAGGGTTGCTCCCAGTGGTGCTTGGGGAACCATGTGACATGGAGGATTGAATCCAGGACCCCCTACATACAAGCCATGCATTTTAGTCACTTGAGCTATCTTCTGGGCTCTGGCCCTTAGTAACATTTTAAATTTCACAGTCAGAGAACTAGTACTGCATGGTTCTCCAAGCGTCACTGGGACCAACCCTTAATTGCCAAGTCAGGACTAGAGCCTTTGTGCTACCAGGTGTGCCTAACTCCCACCACCCCAAAAAAAACCAAACATACATGTGTAGCTGTTTTCCCACTGCTTCATTTATTTAGATTTTTTTTTTTAATTTTTGCTTTTTGTGTCACACCCGGCGATGCACAGGAGTTACTCCTGGCTCTGCACTCAGGAATTACCCCTGGCGGTGCTCAGGGGACCTTATGGGATGCTGGGAATTGAACCCGGGTCAGCTGCATGCAAGGCAAATGCCCTATCCGCTATACTATTGCTCCAGTCCCTATTTTGATTTTTTTAATGTAATTTCAGAATATGATAAAAACTTTGAGAATTTTAGGTAAATAATTCAATTTTAGTAATTGAATTATTTTGACCTGATCTGTGCTTATTATTTTCCAACCAGGATACTGTGAATCATTTGCTAATCATCTTTATAGATGACAGTCCAGTGAGTATTGAACTTTAATTTAAATGCTTGGACCACATTGCATTGAATTTTTGATTACTATCGGTCAAGTGAAATATTATTTTAAAAATTTATTCTCTTTCTTCAAAGCTTGAAAAAGCAACTGAACCACCTTCATCATTGATTCCATTTTTGCAAAAATTTGCAGAACCAAGAAATAAAAAGCCATCTGTAAGTATTTTCAGCAATAATTTAAGTTGATTGTTATGTATAGTTTTGTCCTATTTTTATAGCATTATCTTACTCTTCCATATTGTATCAAGGTGCTGAAATTAGAATTGAAGCAAATCCGAGAGCAACAAGATCTCTTATTTCGTTTTATGAACTTTTTGAAACAAGAAGGAGCAGTGCACGTGTTGCAGATATGTCTGACTGTGGGTGAGGTTTATCTATGTACTTTACCAAGTCATTTAAAAATATTTCATGTAGTTGAATATATAGGTCAGATTCATTATTGTTATTGTGATTATTATTGTTTGAATTTTATTTGCTATATATTCTATAAGTTTATCAGAACTCTGTTTCTCTTGAGTGCCTATTTCTTTTCCAGATTGGGACATAATCTATAACTAACTTTAGCCAAATCCTATTAGCAAAAAAAAAAAAAAAACCTGAAAACTCAGTATAATGAAAAATATACTAGGGACTTGGTCATTATGGATCCCTGACACTACATAGTCCCTCAAGCACTGTGCCAGGAGTAATGACAGGTGTGACCCTCAAACAAAAATAAAGATCCAAGTTACTCATTTCAATTAATTTTTGTCTTGGATTTTTGTTTTCTTTTTCTCTTTGGGCCACACCCAGTGATGTTCAGGGGTTACTCCTGACTGTACTCAGAAGTTACTCCTGCGGTGCTTGGACTGTTTAGGGTGCTGGGGATCAAACCTGGGTTGACTGTGTGCAAGGCAACTGCCCTACCCACTGTTCTGCCTTTCCAGCCTCATATTTTGGATTATTTTGATTCGAGTAATTAAATACATAGTTTGATTATAAACCATAAAATCTTGCTCTATGAGAATGAGAATAATTTAAAACTTTGTGGGCTGTTTATAAAATATTTTTTTAGAGAGTTTCTTCCCAAGTAGTGCTCAGGGACCTGGGATGATTCCTCATAGTATTTGACCCATTTGTGTGGCCTGATGATTTGGTGTCCAGGTTTGCAAAGCTGTCACTCTGAGCCTGTGCACCATTCCTCCGGGGTCCCCCCATCCTGACCTTTAAAAAAAATTGAAAATAAATTTGTTTCTATTGCTAGACTCACATACTGATTTTCTTGCAAGAGAAGAGGGGAACTGAGAGGAGATGGGAGGAATTCCCAAGAGCAGTAAAAATTTTCACTCTAAAGAAGGGTGTGAGTAGTTGCTCCATTGTGAAGGGTGAGAAATTACATCATAAACTGGGATAAGGTGACCAGAGTGGAATGCCTTTTGAGTTACCTTCCTGGAATATTATTAAGACTTTCATGAGAGCCACACATGGAGGTGCTTAAGGGCTACTTTTTGCTCAAGGGTCACTCTATTTGATTAATATTTTAAATGCAGGTAATTTTTTGGGGTCTACACCAGCCAGTGCTCAGTGTCCACTCCTGGCATTGCTCAGGGGACCATAAAAGTAGTTCCAGGGATTTAATGGGACTGGACTCACGCAAGGCATCCACTTTAAACCCTCCAGCTCTAATTTCTTTTGAGAAAGAAATTGTAAATTTTTAGAAAGCAAGTTGTAATATACATAGTAAAACTAATTGAACTTACGTATACAGTTTGATCAGTTTTGGCAAAATGTGTATGTTCACGTAAACTACACCTTTGTTGAGATGGTACATTTCATTCACCCAGAAAGTTCCTTTAGAGCTCTTCTTAAATGATCAGTTCAGTTCTCACTCATGCCAAAGCAATCATTGGTCTGTTCCTTCCTTCCTTCCTTCCTCCCTTCCTTCCTTCCTCCCTTCCTCCTTCTCTCCCTCCCTCCCCCCCCTCCCCTCCTTCCTTTCGCACCCAGTGATTCTTAGGGATTACTGGCTCTGCACTCAGGAATTACTCCTGTCAGTGCTAAGGGAACCATATAGGATGCTATTCTAAGCTTTATTCGTTAAGGATATTGCTTTTCAGGATTCTGTGTTACTGTAGTGCTCAATAGTTTGCTGTTTTTTCCTTGCCAATAAGTAGTCTTTTGCATGAATATGCTTATTTATCTTTTGGTAATCTGTACTTTTTATCTAGTTGCACGTTTTGACACTTTATTGGCGTATTTATCTTTCTGATGCTCTATTCCATTCTGTAGCACCCTTCTGTTCAAGGTTTTTTTTTTTTTCCCCTGCAAGTTGGGTCACACCCAGCAATGCTCAGGGGTTATTTCTGGCTCTGCACTCAGGAGTTACTCCTGGATGCATGGGGGACCACATGGGATGCCGGAGATTGAATGCTGTACTATCACTCCAGCCCCTCTGTTGAACTCTTTCACACTTTCTTTAGTGTCATTCTTTAGTGTCAGTCTGCTTGGTGTAAATTGCTTTTGTTTGCCTGAAGTTATTTACTTGACTGTGTTGAAGAATATTTTTAGTGAATACAGAATTTTAGGTTGAAAATTTTTTTTCCTTCAGTTCCTTAAAGATATTCTTTTATTTCGACAGTGCCATTACTTATGAGAAATCAGCTTCCATTCTTGTCCGTTGCCTCATCTATAATATCTCCTTTTTTCATGACTGGTTTTATAATTACCTTTTTATTTTGGGCACTTAGCAATTCAACTATAATACATAGTTTTCTTTCTATTCTGCCTGGATTTTACTAAGATTCTTGGATACATGTATATTTCATCATTTTTGAAAATTCTTGGGTGTTCACTCACCAGATATTCTTTTTTTCTTTTTTTTTGCCTTTTGGGTCACACCTGGTGATGCACAGGGGTTTCTCCTGGCTCTGCACTCAGGAATTACTCCTGTCGGTGCTCAGGGGACCATAAGGGATGCTGGGAATCAAACCCGGGTTGGCTGCGTGCAAGGCAAATGCCCTACCCACTGTGCTATCGCTCCAACTCCTCATCAGATATTCTTTCTTATTTTTGCTTCCTTTTTGATAGTTCCAGTTATGTGAATCTGCTATCATTCTGCAGCTCCTTTAGGTCCTGTTTCAGTTTTTGTTGTTGTTAAAGTCCATCGTTTCTCTGTGTTTCAGTTTAAGTAATTGAGAATCAAGTTGCTAATTTTGTGTTAATAATGCCTCTTATAAAAATTTTTGTATTGGCCATTGGAAAGGGAGTCCAAGGCTTAAGATGCTTACCTTGCATGCATATGACTATGGTTTAATTACCAGTTACTGTGTAGGTTCCCTGAGCACCACTAGAAGTAAGCCCTGAGCACTTCAGGGTGTGGCCCAGAAGACACTGCCCACTTAACCACAAATTAGTGTTTGGATATCCTAATGCTACTGTGTTATTTTTAGAAAAAAATGGCTTATTTGTTCAGATTCTTAGTTCTATCTCTAATAGTTTCACAATGGCAAGAAATATTATTTAAAAACTTAATTGGAGCCCAAAAGTTGTCCAATTTTTTTCAGTTATTTAAATGAATCTGATTTAATTGATTTACTTATTTTTGTTTGGTTTTTGAACCATACCCGGCAGTGCTCAGGGCTTATACCTGACACTGCACTCAGGGATCACCTGGGTACAAGGGCACACTCTGGGGTACTAAGCATTGAACCTGGGTCAGCCACGTACAAGGCAAGAGCCTTACCTTGTCTCTCTAGCCTCAGATGAATCTAATTTTAAGATAGCAGATCTTTGGTAAAAGAAATTCATCCAATGTGTTACTTAAAGAAAATTTAGACAGGTGTTTATATGCTAGAATTTAATATTTGAAGTAGGCTGGAGAGATAAGATAGTAACAGTGTGTAAAGCACTCTTCTTGTATGCTACTGACCCTGGTTTGAACCCTGGCACTGTATATAGTCCTGTAGCACCACTGTAAGTGACCTCTGAGCACAGAACCAGGAGTTAGCATAAGCAGTTGTTTTACTCCCAATTAAACACTTCAGTTTATTTAAAAAATTGATAATTTTTTTTTGCCTATTCAGCACTAGTACTCAGTGGCAACTTTGCTCTGTTTTCAGAGGTCACTCCCAAAACTCCCAAAAGTGCTCAGCATACGATGCTGTGCTGGGAATCAAACCCCGGCTTCCTGCATGTGAAGCGTGTGCTCAGCCCATTGAGCTGTCTGTCCAAGTCCAGAAATCTTTTTTGAAATGCTTAAGTTGATAGATAATTATAGTTGCAATTTTTGATGATGCTGTTATTGTAATTTGGGAACATGAAGTTCTCACAGATGGTTTTATATTAAAATAATTCTTTCCTGATTTACTAGAGGAATTCAATGATAGAATTTTGCGACCGGAGTTATCAGTTGAAGAAATGGTGTCTCTTCATGAGGAATTGCAGAAGATTTATAAAACATATTGCTTAGATGAAAGTATTGATAAAATTCGATTTGATTCCTTCATTGTAGAAGAGATTAAAAAAAGTAAGTCACATGGGAATGAATTTTATGACTCTTTTACTTTTTTGTTTTTGTTTTTGTTTTTTGGTTAACACCCGGCAATGCACAGGGGTCACTCCTTGCTCTGCACTCAGGAATTACTCCTGACAGTGCTCAGGGGACCATATGGGATGCTGGGGAATGAACCCGGGTCAGCCGCATGCAAGGCAAACGCCCTACCCACTGTACTATTGCTCCAGCCCTTACTTTTTCCATGTGTTCTTTTTTTATTGAAATACATGGTCAGCCATTATTCTCTTGTACTAATAAAATAAAAATTTTGATGAAGAAACTTATTTATAATTCATATAACTAATAACATGCCCAAGTTGAAGCTTGGTGGGTCTTCTTTTTGATTCTAGTGTGAAAGTGAAGTTTCTGCAAAACATAATCAGACAAGTTATTTGTATGTTCTCTCAGTGTCATGGCATATATTGTATTTATACTATTCACGTGCAATTATAACACTGTAATTATGTGACTGTTTATAATTATTTAACACTATAATCTTTTTAAAATAGTTGCAGAAGGCCCTTACATAGATGTTGTGAAACTTCAGACTATGAGATGTCTTTTTGAAGCATATGAACATGTTCTTTCGCTGTTGGAGAATGTGTTTACCCCTATGTTCTGCCACAGTGATGAGGTAAGTTAGGTATTAATCTAATTTGAGGATTTTCCTCCAAAATTCAATAGGTTTTGATATTGTGAGACAGTTGATTTAATAACAAAGTAAACAGCAAAGTTAAGCATTGATTAAGAGGTGAGTACTTGGGATTGGAGAGATTAGTAAAGGGGTAGGGTGCCTTGGATTGCAGGGGCCAATCTGGCTTTGATCCTCAATATCCCATATGGTCCCCTAAGCCCTGCCAGGAGTCATCTCTGAGTGCAGAACCTGGTAAGCTCTGAGCAGCCCTGGTCCGGTCCACATACTGAGGTGGTGGGGGGAGAGGGGAACCGAGTGCTCATTTCTACCATGTAGTTTAATGAAGATTAGAAGTTAATCATAAAAGCAATTCTCAATTCTAAAACTTTCATTTGGTATATATGTCATGTAGTGTATTGTGATCCAGTGTTTCAGCCTGATGTAAGTGATTTTGTAGTATTTTGCTGATGCAGAACTTTCCCTTTTCTGATGTATACTTTTTTATATATACTTGTGGGAATCAAATGACTTATGTACTTCTGTTTGTTTTTTGGGCTTTTTTTTTTTTTTGAGGGGCAGTATACCCAACTATGCTCAGGACTTACTCCTGGCTCTGTGCTCAGGGATCACTCCTGGTGGAGCTCATAGGACCATGTGGGGTATGGAGTAATTGAACCCAGGTTGGTCACATGCAAGACAAGCACCCTACCTGCTGTACTATTATTGTTCCGGTCCTATCTATTTGTAATATTTTAATCCTTACTCCTTTTAACTGGTTTTACTCACTTGATTGAAATAATTTTTTTTAAACAGAGTAGTAAAACATTATGTTCCAATACCAAATGTTAGTTTAACAAATCATATTTTTTAAAGTATTTTCGACAGCTTCTAAGAGGTGCAGAATCACCAACACGCAATTCAAAATTTAACAGGTAGGTGTAGTCATTCATATGTATGCTTTGTGTTTGTATTTGTTGATGCTAACCATTCTGTGATGCCATCATTGACTTTATTGTTAGTTTTCTCTGAATCTGTATTTTCACTGCTATATAACATATGGGATTTACTAATAAATTATAATACTACCTATAATAATCTGAGATGTTTTGTAGAGAAATTACTAAGATACATTAGTAATGTATCTTACTAATGTATCTTATTTATCTTATTTATCTCATAATTCATATTAATACTTGGTAGCTGTTTTATTGGAGAATATGAACTGCTTTCATGTATGAAATTCACAGACAACTCACTTTTAGATAATAGCATTTTTCTTTTTTCAGAGAATGCCTTTTGTTAATTACTGATTATAAAAATGGATAATTTTCTTTTTTTGCTTCTGCATCTGGAAATACGCAGTTAATGATAAACAGAAGAAAGAAGGAAAAAACTCTATCCATTTATAAACTGGGTGATTAATATCTTGATTAGTCCTGTATCCAAAATTGATGCAGGAATCACATTTGTGCATCTATAGAATATTCACATTGCTTTCAACATTTTCTTGTTTGTATAAGCAGGTACTTAATAAATATAATAAAAAGTATATTAGAAGTTGGAGATATGATACAAAGAACTAGATAGGCCAGAAAATGGAATTGTTATTTATTTGTGGGCCTTCAAAGCAGTGTCCAGGGGCTTGTCACTCCTGGCTATTTGGCCTAGGTTCAGTGGTTGGGAGCCACCAGGACCACACTTGGGAACACTGAAGTCACACTCCATGCCCCATAATTGCTGGAGAGTGAGCTTGGCATTTCAGGCATGTTCTCTAGCCCTTTGAGCTATCTTCCTGGCTCCTAGAGTTGTTTTTAGAGCAAGTAGAAGGTAAAATGTGAAAACCTTAACAATGGGGAAAATATATTGCCTTTTTTTATATAACCAGGAACTATTGAAATTGATTAGAAATTTTTGACTGTTGAATAATTTTGAAGTAGAGTTGGCATATTGTTAAGATATACAGGATAATACTTTATACATGATGAATGGCTTATTAGTAAATATGTAATAATCTATAAAAGGTAAAATATATCTTTGATTCTTTATAATCAAAATATAAATTCTTTATAATCAAAATATAATCAAAATAAAATATAATCAACTATATAAAATATATATTTGATTTTATAAATTTGATTATATAAATATAATCAAAATATAAAATATATATTTGATTCTTTATAATTGGCAGCTATGTACTTAAAAGAATACTTAAAAAAAGCTATGTACTTAAAAGAATACTTGAAAAAAGAAGACATCTGGTTGTCTTCAAAATGCTGTCACTAATTATGTTGGGTTTAAAATATGAAACAAAAGGTGATAGTTTCTTTTCATTCAGGTACAAATTAAAGGGATAACTTTTCTTTGTATTGGCCTGACTTTAATATCAGTGCTGTTAGGAATCTGTTTCTTAGATGCTTGATTAGTTTAACTTTAGAGTTAAGTTAGATGCTATATCATTGAAAATTTAGAGTAGTTTCACTAATTTGCCATTAAATGACTTAAATTGTTTATGTATTTTATAATTTTTTTGAATTGCATTTTAAAATAGGGTAATTTTAAATGTGTATTATTTTGTTGCTCTCAAAGCATAGCTTTAAACATTATTTAGGAATCTTTTTTAGATTAAAACATTTTTGATAATGCGCAGATAGAAAAGGTGTGACGCATGAATAATTTTACCTATACTACAAACACAGAATTCCTGTGGGACAATGTACGTGCTTTGTCCCAGGATTTTGGTTATTTCGTCTCTCTTTCCTTTCCATGGGATCAAACATGGGTCTAAATGCATATAAATTAACAATGAAAAATTTTTGAGTTTTTAAGAACTTTTAAGAAATGATTTAGAATTAGGGACTAGGGATGTGGCTCAGTGGCAGAGAACTTGCCTTGCAAATGTTAGAGCCTGGGTTTGATTCCTGATATGGTCAGAAAGAACCCTCAAGCACTGAGCCAGGAGCAGCACCAAAACATAACCAGCTGTGCCCACAAACTGAAGACTAGTAAATAAATAATCTAGAATTCATACCTTTAACTCTCCAAAAAAGCCATTGTGCCTTTTCTTTTATCATGTTATTTATAAGAATTTTTTCCTGTGCAGAAATGCATGCTATTTGTATAGCTTTAAAATTTTAAAAAATTTTGTTTTATATTTTAAAGTGCTACTTGTTAATATCTGGGCTTTCTCCTTTTCTTCTATAATTCACCTATCTGTTATTGCAGAGGTAGCCTAAGTTTGGATGATTTCCGGTAAGTCTTGAGACAGCATGTGATTTTTTTTTTTATTTTTGAAATAAATTATTTAAGTCCAGAAAATACACCTAAAGAAACTGAAGTATTGCTAAGAGAGAAAAAAAAGACATTGTGATTCTGTTTGTATATTAATTGGGATACTTGTTTATTTATTTTTTAAATTTTTATTAGTGAAATACCATGAGGTACAGTTGTAGACTTAAAATTTTTTTGTGCTTGGATTTCACTTATACGATGATCGAGTACCCATCCCTCCACCAGTGCCCATTCTCCAACTCCAGTGCTCCCAGTACCCCTCCTGTACCCCCATCTCCCCATCCCATCCCACCCCTGTGGCAGGGCATTCCCGTTTGTTTTCTCTCTTCTTGTGGGTGCTGTGGTTTGCAAAAGAGGCATTGAGTGGCAATCAAATTCCGTCTATAGTCTACTTTCATCATGCATCTCTCATACTGGGAGGATCCTCCAACACCCTTTATTTGGTGTTCCCTTCTCTATCTGAGCTGCCTTTTCCCCTAGCATATGCGGCTGGCCTCCAAGCCATGGAGTGAACCTCCTGGTACTTTCGGGATACTTGTTTAAAATTAACCTCTAGTTCTAGACTCTTCTTTTTGAAATCACATGATAACATTTTTTCATAAAGTAAAAGTTTCTAGTATAAAAATTTTTAAGATTATTTTTGTAACTAATATTTTTTCAGAGAACCTTTCTGTAACTCTAGGCATATTCACAACTCAGATATTTGAAAATATATTAAAGAGTTCAAGTGTTTTCATTTTAATAGTTGACTTGGAAGCTTTTTCTATTGTAGTTGTGTTACTTCTGAATTTTTAAAGAAAACTAACTGCATGCTTATTTAAGTAAAATAATATTTTGTTTTATAACTTTATTTACTAATTATTATATTTTTTTCCCATTTTTAAAGTAAAGTTAATTTGTGGACCAGGGTTGTTGTGTCAGCAGCAGAGCATATACTGTGTATGTGGGAGGGCCTGGGTTCAATTCCCAGCACTGATGAAAAATTTTTGTTCCGGGGGACTGCTATAATGGCACAGCTGGTAGGAAACTTACCGTGCACATGGGCAACCCAGGTTTGATCCCTGGCATCCCATCTGGTTCCCTGAGCCTGCCAGGAGTAACTTCTGAGCATAGACCTGGAGTAACCCCTGAGTATTGCCAGGTGTGGCCCCCCAAACAATTTTTTTATTTGCTCTCTAGACATTGTAAAATACCTGGTGTATTTGATGCTTTATCAATTTATTTTTATTTCAGTAATTGTAATTAAGTTTTTAAGATAGGAACAATAATAAGCATCCTCAGATTTTAAAGTAGTAAGCTTTGAGTCCGAGAGCTAGGACAGGAGGTCAGGTGCTTTGCATGTGGCTGTTTGGTCCCTAGCTCCACACTGTTCCTCAAGCACCACCAGGGATCACTCCTGAGCCCAGAGTAATGCAAGGTGTGGCCACTAACCCCTATCCCCCTCTCAAAAAATAAAATGGTAATTTTTATTTGGTTATCTATTATAAGAGGACTGTAACAGTGAACATGAATTAAAACTTGGCTAAAAATTTTATTTACTGAAATGGGGTAGTAAAGTAGTATGGTTTAATGGAGATTTTTTTTATGATTTTCAACTTTTTGTTAGTGATTTTCAGGTATCTTGTACTTTTAGAAATTCACTTAAAAATTGCACATCATCTTTAAAACGTGATCGAGCATATGTTATACATGGCAGAGGCTGCTCCTTTCGTGTACATTTGCTTTTATTTTTATGATTATTACTAACCCTTTTTGTCACATTGAATCTTTATTACTTTTTTTTTTTCTTTTTGGGTTTCACCCAGTGATGTTTAGGAGTTACTCCTGGCTCCGCACTCCTGAGTTACTCTTGGTGGTGCTTGGGGTACCATATGGGTTGCTGGGGATTGAACCCGGGTTGGCTGCGTGCAAGGCAAATGCCCTACCTGCTGTACTATCGCTCTGGCTCCCTAATCTTTATTACTTTGAAGTTAAGTAAAATACAGCTTTCTTAGTTTATTGAGGTCTTAATATATGGGAAAATTTAATTTTGTATGAACGCATAAATAATAGGGGCCATATTTTTCCTGATACTCATATGAAAGATGAAGTACTGAGAAGGTCATAGTTTAATACATACTTTTTGCAACACAGTTATTTCAGCAATACAGTTCTTAAGGGGTGTGTGTGTGTGTGTGTGTGTGTGTGTGTGTGCCAGCGCATGTGCACACACTAGGGATCAAATCCAGGGACTCCACATGTGAATCTTTGTGCTCTGCCACTGAACAGCAATCCTAGCTTCAAATTCTGTATTGAACATCATGCTTAACACGTCTTTATGTTATTTTAATTTTTTTGGCAGTTTGATCTATATGCCACTAGGTGGCCCTCATTTTTAAAACTTTTTTTTGTTCAGTTAATATTTACTAATAAATATTGTCTTATTTGTCTCCTGAGCTTAAAATATAAATGCTCTGGCACTTTCGGCCTCTAGGTGTTGAGGATATATGGCTGAGAATTGCAGAAGTTATGTTAACTATACCTTTGGTTTGTGACTTTTTTACCACTGTTTATTTAAAGTAAAACTTAGACTTATGATAATTTGTCAGGCATTTTATACATTTTTGCTTAATATTTAGGAGCACGACTAAAAGAGGAGAATCATTTGGAATCAGCAGAATAGGTAGCAAAATAAAAGGAGTATTCAAGAGCACTACAATGGAGGGAGCTATGTTGCCCAATTATGGTTTAGCTGAAGGTGAAGATGACTTTGTAAGTAAAACTTTTTTAATTAAATGTATTTATTGCTTACTCATAACTTTTTTGCTCCTTTATCTTCATACTTCCTTTGTATTCTCCATTGTTTTCATTAGATATTACCATTTCTTGGTACTAATCTAAATTTTAAAGTTTTTGAACATTAAGTTGTTATTTATTAATTTCTCTTAATAAGGCAGAATTAATTTCTGTTAAACTGAGATACTTTAATAAGTATCTTATTAAAGATGGTAAGTATTTACCATCTTTTGTTATGGATTTTACTTGTATCGTAATGCTACCTTTGCAACCATATGATCCATGTATAGGGAGTTTTAATTTTAATTTTTTTTTTTTCTTTTTGGGTCACACCCGGCAATGCACAGGTGCTCGGGGGACCATATGGGATGCTGGGAATCGAACCTAGGTCGGCTGCATGCAAGGCAAATGCCTTACCCGCTGTGCTATTGCTCCAGCCCCCTTAATTTTATTTTTTATTTTGGGGGGCTATACATGGCAGTGCTCAGAGGATATTCTTGGCTCTGTGCTTAGGGGACCATATGTGATGCTGAGAATCAGATCAGGATTGGCCACGTGCAAGGCAAATAAATACCCTAACCCCTGTTCTATCTCTCTTGCCTTTATTTATTTGGAAGTTCTCACTTTATTTTAATTTCTTTATTCCTCCACTCACTTCACTTTGTTGTTGTCATTGTAATGACATCAGGTTATACACATACTTAGCTCTGATGCTCACTGGTGATCATATGTCACACACTTGGTCACAGTGTTTAGAGAGTTTTGCACTCTTTTTTTTTTTTGCTTTTTGGGTCACACCCGGCGATGCTCAGGGCTTACTCCTGGCTCATGCACTCAGGAATTACTCCTGGCGGTGGTCGGGGACCATAGGGATAGCTGGGAATCGAACCTGTGTTGGCCATGTTGGCTGCGTGCAAGGCAAACGCCCTACCGCTGTGCTATTGCTCCAGCCCCGAGAGTTTTGCACTCTTATTTGCAGTGCTTGCCAGTGCTCATCCATGCTGACACATGACTATTTTTTTTTTAATTTTAGTCACCATGATTTACAGTCTGTTCGCGTTAGGGTTTCATGCACACAGCATTCCAACTCTTCCATCCACCACGGTCTCAGGGTCTGAGTTCCCTCCACCTCCCCTTCCTTTGGCACTGCTGTTTCCTCATCAGTTAAGCTCAGTTCTGTAGACTGGTTCTCAGGCTCTGTTGCATTTGGCCTTTGGTTGTTCCCTTCTTTATATCCTGTGCATAAGCGAGGTCATTCTGTATTTTTCTTTTTCCTCCTGACTTCGCTCAGCATAATACTTCTTTGCTCAACATCATACTTCTCAGCTCCTTCCATATACTGTTTCTGTGTCTCCAGAACCCTGTCTTTGCACAGATCTGCATGCAAATAGATTTTGTGTGGTGTTTTGAACTTAATAGGCAACTGGTACCTCCATCACCATACTTGCTCAGGATTTGAATATCTGTACCTTATGAGAATGCTTTGGAAGGTATGACCTACTTGCTAGCTGCCAATAGAGGGGCTGGATGGAGCAGAATTTGTTGGCTTGACTAAACAAGTGCCTGTTAGTCCTGAGTGTGTTCTGGCTAGAATGGGTGGTGGTTGCCACAATAGTGGTAGTCCCCAGTCAAAAACCACTGGCAACAGGACAAACCTTTGATGCTTTGATTCGAACTTTCATTTGCAATCATTTGCTTCTCTACTGAGTAAAGGTAAAGGTAAAGGTAAAGGCCCTCCCGTTGATCGTCGATTTGCTCGAGCAGGCCCAGTAACGTCTCCATTGGAGACTTTGTTGTTACTGTGTTTGGCATATCGAATACTCTCGGTAGCTTGCTGGGCTCTCTACTGAGTAGATAACAAAAACTGAACTGAGTGTTGGAAACCTGGGTGCAGAGTTAATTCCCCTTTGCTGTGGTCTAAAGTCCTTGATATATTAAAGTTGTCTTCATAATTATGTTTAGATTGAAGAAGGTATTGTTGTAATGGAAGATGATTCACCAGTTGAAGCTGTGAGCACACCTTCTACTCCCCGAAACCTTGCTGCCTGGAAAATTAGTATTCCATATGTAGACTTTTTTGAAGATCCCTCTTCTGAAAGGAAGGAGAAAAAGGAGAGAATCCCTGTGTTTTGTATTGATGTTGAAAGAAATGATCGAAGAGCAGGTAGGAGAACTCATGAGTAACTTGGCCAAAAGGTGCTCATTTATCTTTTTCGGAATTTTTCAGGTTGATGGTGTGTGGTTCTATAGTAGAGCCACTTGCCTTACATACATGATGTCCTGGGTTCAATCCCAGGTTCTGCTAAAAGCAGAACAAACCTTGCAACAGGACAAACCTTTAATGCACAGATATTTGTTAAAAAAATAAAAAAAAATTGCCAAGTCTAGCTCTTGATTATGACTACATCCCTGTTGTTTTGGAGGCCATTTCTGTTACCACTTAACTAATTTATTGATCTGAAATTTATTTACTATGAAGGTATAACTTAATTTATGTAACTTTTACTTCCTTTCAAAATATTTACATCTGATAAACACTTAAATACTTTGGGAACACTTTGTTTTTGCATTTGGGACAGCTATCTTTAATGTTTGTACTCTGGTTGTTTTGTTTTATTTTAGAGCACAATATCTCAGCTATTATACTCCTGGGCTATTCCTGGTTCTATGCTCAGGAGTGATGCCTTGCCACGCTTAGGGAACAATTTGTGGTGACAGGGGTTTGAACCAGAGTTGACTGCATGGAGCCTTAACTCCTATGCTATCTCCCCGGCCCCTAATGTTTGTACTTTGTTTTTAAAATGTCGACTTAATAAGTTAACTATGAAATCAAAACAAAAATAGTTTAAAACTTACATTCTAAAAATAAGTTTAGTTTGTAGTGCTGTAGACTTTTGTTAATATAGTACACTCTTGGGAAGTCATGATCTGTGCAGAGGAATGAAAAATTTTATTACGTACTACATTAATTTTATTATGTATAGTGAAACAGGAATTCAGTATTTTTTTTTCTTTTTGGGTCACACCCGGCGATGCACAGGGGTTCCTCCTGGCTCTGCACTCAGGAGTTACTCCTGGCGGTGCTCAGGGGACCATATGGGATTCTGGGAATTGAACCCGGGTTGGCCGCATGCAAGGCAAATGCCCTACCCGCTGTGCTATCTCTCCAGCCCCAGGAATTCAGTATTTTAAAAACAGAAGTTAAATACAAAAAAGATCTTTTAAGACCAGTGTTGAGAAAGGGAGGTAGTATTTGCTTTATAACTTGTAATCAACAGATTGGCTTTGTTTGTTTGTTTTTGAATTTAGGTTTGTTTTTGTTTTTATTTGGGGATCCCCACACCCGGTTTAGGGGTTACTCCTGGCTCTGCACTTAGGAATCTCCTGGCAGGCTCAGGAGACTGTATGAGACACCAGGACTTGAACGTGGGTCTGATGTGTGCAAGGCAAGCACCCTACCTACTATCTCTCTGGCCTCCCACAGGTGTTTTTTTATTTTAGTTGACTAGATGCATTGCATTTTACATCTGTTCATGAGATACTAATAATAGCAGTAACATTTTTGGGGTATTTACTGTGTGTTGTGCACTACACAGAAGTTCTTTTTGTGGATTATTTTATGTCATAGAAAAAAATCATTCTGTAGGCAAAGTGAGGTATAGAGGTGTTATTTTTTTGAAGTCATATAATAAAGCGGGACCTGGAATTAAAATAAGCAGACCTATTTTAATTTTTTAAACTATTACTTGGTTCTTTATAATTGAACCATATTTGGTAATTAAATATATCAAATTTTGGCTTAATGCTAGTTACATTTTAAATGATCAGTAGCAACATGTGGCTAATACTGTATTGGTTTAGGTAGTGTAGAACATTTTTGTAATTGCAAAAAATCCTATTAGTACTATTCTATACTGTATTATTAAATCAGGACAATGGTAGATATTTGAGAGACTTAAAATTGATTACAAATATTTATGCTATATATTTTTTGAGTTAACATTTGAAGCCTATCACAGTTGCATAACTTGAATTTTTCTGCTAGGTTTTGATGTGGGAAAATTATATTGAAATAATTCCATTATAGATGACATTCATTTCTTCAAATTACATTTACAGTGTTTCTGTAAATGACAGTAAGAATATATTTTGTTAAGAATGGGAGGCTTTTTATTTTTGTATGCTGTTTTAAATACTGCTAGTAGTTGTTCATAAAATTATTTGTTATTCATTCCATTTACAGTTGGACATGAGCCTGAACATTGGTCTGTCTATAGAAGATACCTTGAATTCTATGTACTTGAATCAAAACTAACAGAATTTCATGGTTTGTTTCCTTTTTGTATAAACATTGCATTTTACATTTAGCCTTCTTAAAAATTGCTGAACCAGATTAAAAATTTAATTTTAAAATATATTGTCAAATGTCACAATCCAATTAATAATGATGTACTGGTTTTGTCCTTTTTTGCTTATTTTATATCTCAAAGGTTTTTATAATGCAACATTTTATAAATTATACCCAAAACTTTTAAATAGTTGTTTTATATGTTAGAAAAGTTTCTTTTTCTGATTTAATTTTGATATTGATGTGGCAAAGATTAAACCAGATATTTCAGGGTGACTTGTTCTTTACTCTTATCTTCCTTGCCAAACATCAGGGCAAATAGTTTGATTTAGCTCTTAGAATTAAATAAGGAGGCAAAGCTAGCTAAATGTTTCTATTCAGGGCAGCCAGACAGGAAAAGAATTTATCTGTTTAGTTCATTCTCACATATATATGTTACTTTCAGGAATATGATTAGGAAGTAATTTTTGAAGTCATTTAAAAAAATTGGTGATTTTTATTTTTATTTTCTTGATGGGGACAGGGTTTGGGCCCACACCCGGCAGTGCTCAGGGGTTACTCCTGACTCTGCTTAGTAATTGCTCCTGGTGGGACTCCAGGGATCAAATGGGATGTTGGGGATCAGGTCTGGGTTGGCTGCTTGCAAGGCAAGCACCTTACCCACCGAACTATTTCTCTGGCCCCAAATTGGTGAGTCTTATTTGTATGTTCTGAATCTTTTTATTTTAGTAAAGCCCTGTGGAAGTGTCCCTGATCCAAAATGAGATTGACTGTGAACTGAAAAGGACAGAAAATCTTTTTTATTCTTCACTGACAGCAAAACCTATGATATGACTATTATAGGAAGATAAAGAATACAAGGTCAATTGTTTTTTTTTTATTAGATTTTGAATTTTCCAATAAACAAGACTTTATTGTTTTTTATCTTGTTTTGGGGGCCACAACTAGTGGTGCCTTTTGACTACTCCCTTTACATATCTGTGGCCACTCCTGGCAGTGCTCTAGGGAACTCGGCCCTGGGATCAAACTGAGTTTCCTAAATGCAGAGCCTGTGCAGCAGTCCTTTGAACTATCTCTGCCTTGTGCTTGTGTTTAAATGGCTTTCTCTTTGTTTCCACCACAAACTAATATAATGCCGTGATTTTTTTTTTCCCTTTTCCGAGAACTTTTCCATCTGACATAGAGTGGAGAGAAGATCATTTATCTCCACACTTTTAATATACTGAATTAACCAAAGCTGGGTTGAATTCCCAGTAATAGCTTTCCTTTTTCGGTCCGAAATTTTCCTTTCAACCCTACCTGATAAAGTATCCTTATTATTTCAAAGCATATATTAGCATTAGCAGGATGCTACCAGAGGGGCTATCTCTTAGTAACATTTTTGCCTAAGAGAATTCCTTTTCCAAAATAATGTCATATTTTTGAAGCTGTTTCATCTAGTTTAGAAAGTCAAAAATTTTTTCCATGTCAAGTAGTTGATGAGTGAAAGTGATTATTTTGATTATCAATGTTAATCTTTGGTCTGGACTTCTGGAAGTTTTCTGATTTATCAAGATGCTTTTAAATGCCACAAGGCAGCATTATAATCTGAATTTTTCATATTAGATTATAGTCTAGGTTTAAAAAACAATAGAATATGATAATTGCTTCTGTATACACTAATTTCAGGCACATTTCCTGATGCTCAGCTTCCCTCCAAGAGAATCATTGGCCCCAAAAATTATGAATTCTTGAAGTCAAAGAGAGAAGAATTTCAGGAATATTTGCAGGTATTGTACCAATTTTAATTTAAAGCATTGCTAATTGTAGTATTCTCTTATTTGTCCTTTTCTATTGTACATATACGCCACTTTAAAAATAACTTATAAAGTGGGTTTAAAATATTTTTACTTAGACTTTTTAGAATATAAGATGAATATTCAGTGGGATTATAAAGAGCTTATTTTAATTTTTCTTTTTTATATGTGTGTCAAAAAGATAGTATAAGAAGTAAGGTGCTTGCCTAGCAGGTACTGACCCCAGTTGATCCTGGGCACCACATCTGGTCATTTGAGCAGAGCCAGACTCAAAACTCCATCCTTCCCTTCTTCCCCGTCCCCCAGAGTAAATGAGGGATGATGGGTGGTGTGTGGGTAGCAAGAAAGAAAACCTTGGTGTAGAAGACAAAATGTAATCTCAGATATTGGATAGTTTTCCTATTTTTGTTTTGTATTTTGTTTAATTTTATATTAGTATCTTTCTGAACTCTTGATTTTTCTCTGCTGTTTTTTTTTTCTCTATTTTCATTTGCAGTTTATAGGTGTTTTCCATTTATGTTGCTATCTCATTGTTCTTTATCATTTACTGCTACCGGTTGAATTTTAATTTTCTTTGGGTCTGAGCATTTTATCATGTGAACAGTATAGTTGGTATCTGATTTTCATTGACATTCAGTGGATTTTAAGTTACCAATTTGAGACTCCTAAAATTGGAGATCTTAATCTTTTTTCACTCAAATCTTTAAGATCAAAGAATAGATATTTTCATTCGATGTATTTAAAAGTGGTCTTTGGTACATAAGGTATAACTCATTGAGCTGACGTCATGCTCTGCACGTGGGAGGTCCAGAGCACAGAGCTGGGGGCTGGAGAGATAGTACAGATGGAAAGGTTCTTGTCTTGCACTTGATCCAACCTGGGTTTTATTCCTGACTTTCCATATGGCCCCCTGAGCACTGCCAGAAGTGATCCTTGAGTACAGAGCCAGGACTAAGTTCTGAACAACTCCCGAGTAAGCCAGGAGTAACAACTGTTGTGATGTGGCCCCCAAACAACAGCAACCCAACCCAAAACAGAACATAGAGCTGGGAGTAACCCCTTTGAACTGCCAGGTATGGTCCCCTAGCAGATAGCAGGTCCCTTATACTTGGTTGAATTTAGTATTTTTCCAAGTGTTAATTTACTTAAATTTGAGTGCCTCCTAGCCTCTAAAGTTGTAGAGAAAAAAAAAAAGTTGTAGAGTGTTTTTTTTTTTTTGTCTTGTTTTGTTTTTCTGCAGGGGAAGTGGGTGATGGTGTGCCCAGGGCTTACTCCTGGCTCTTTGTTCAGGAGTCATTCCTGGTGGTACTCAGGAGACCATATGTGGTGCTAGGGATTGAACCCAGGTTGGTGCAGGCGCCCTATATACTGTACATTGCTTCATCCTCTATAAGGATCTTTTTAATTAAAAATACTCTATTGGGGTCAGAGATGCAACTTGAAGAGTTCAGCACATGCTTTACACCTGGGAGCCTCAGGTTAGATCCCTGGCAGCATATGTTCCCTGCATACCCCCAAGAATGACCCCTAAATGCAGACCTGGGAGTACTCAAAAACACAAAAAGAAATGTATTTTACAGTATAATAATGCTGTAGTTCCTGTATTTGAACTGTTAAGTTCTTGAACTGAAATGAGTTTTTGCTGGTAGAGAGATTAGAATATGAGTATTAAGTACCATAAGGTTATTTGAATACAGCATATGTTAGTTCTCAGTCTACCTTTTTTGATACACCCAGCCTGTTATTTGAAATGATTAATTCTCTGTTTGGGGCGGGGAGTGGGGAGGTACCCCGAGCGATGCTCAGGGGTTACTTCTGGCTCTAGGAATCACTCTTGGTAAGGATGCTGGGGATCAAACCCTGGTTGAGGGTTGATGGTGTGCAAGACAAATGCCCTACCTGTTGTGCTATCTCTCCAGCCCTTTCGACTGATTAATTCTGAGAACAAAAGTATCTTATTCGTGGATCTATAGACATAGTGCCATGGGTACTTGCCTTGCACTTGCCCAACCTAGGTTTGATCCCTGTCACCACATATGGTCCCCTGAGCCCTCCAGGAGTGACTCTGAGTGCAGAGGTAGGAGTAAGTTTTGAGCATAGCTATGTGTGACCCTAAGCAAAAGTATCATATTCTAGAAGTAATATTTTGTGATAACATGATATAAAGGTTAGAGTACTGGTATTTTAGTTATATAGATTTTTGCTTATAAAGTTTTGCAACTGTTCCATAGTTGCAAAACTGAATATCAGGTAACAACTGGATTAATTTTGGCTTTTGAGGCATTTTATCTTTTTTTCTTTTTCTTTCTTTCTTTCTTTTTTTTTTTTTTTTTTTTTTTTTTTTGCTTTTTGGGTCACACCCGGCATTGCACAGGGTTTACTCCTGGCTCTGCACTCAGGAATTACTCCTGGCAGTGCTCAGGGGGACCATATGGGACCCGGGTAGGCCGCATGCAAGGCAAACGCCCTACCCGCTTTGCTATTGCTCCAGCCCCAAAGGGCATTTTATCTTGTACGAAAATTGTATTGCAATAAAAGACAACAAATTTTTCCAGGTTATTTCACATTTTTTTGGTACCCATTTAATTTTATATAAAATGCTTTATACCAGCTTCATTTATTTTACGTTTTTAATAGCAGGGAGGCTTACAAAGTTAAATCTGCACATGGTGGTGCTCAGGGGCAATTCTTAGCTCTGTGCTTAAGGAGTACTCCCAGCAGTGCTGGAGACACCGTTTTTGGTGCTGGGGAACAAATCTGGATTTTTTGCATTCCAAGCATGCTTCCAGTCTGTTGAACTATCTAATTGGCAGTATTATAGTACTTGTTTGGTAGTTAGAAATTGAGAGATAATATTAATGTTCTATCTTTGTATCAGGTAGAGCACAAAATGCCTTTTGTTACATTTACAAAGTAGGTAATTTCACATAATACATGAAGTAGTAGACTGGCGGACAATTTAAGACTTTTCCTGGGGATATCAAGCTAACATATGGAAGTGCTAGAATTCAAATTCATTTATGCCTTTGGAGCATGAGGTCTTACCTGCTATGCTATGTTATATTTTCATTCTCTTTATATAAATGAAATTGAAAAAAATTATTCTGAATATAAATTTAGCTTTGGAGAATTTGAAATTGTTTTCTTGTTAAAAAATCATTTATATATTTTTGATTACCCTTCTAGATTTTCAAACCTTTTTTTTCTTTTTTTTCTTCATTTAAGAAACTTTCGCAGCATCCAGAACTGAGTAATAGTCAACTTCTGGCAGATTTTCTCTCTCCCAATGGGGGGGAAACACAATTTCTTGATAAGATACTTCCAGATGTAAATCTTGGTAAGTCTATATAGAGAATTATATAAAAACATAAACTGGAAAAGAACCAGTATTTCACATAAATTTAGAAAAAAAAATTTTTTTTTAATTGAAGCCATCTGTGAGACTATCTCTTACACACTGTTAGTGGCAGTAGCACTGTAGCACTGTCCTCTCATTGTTCATCTATTTGCTGGAGCGGGTAACAGTAACTTTTCCATTGTGAGACTTGTTACTATTTTTGGCATATAGAATATGCCACCGGGAGCTTGCCAGGCTCTGCCACGTGGGTGGGATACTCTTGATAGCTTGCTAGGCTCTCCGAGAGGGACGGAAGAATCAAACCCGGGTCGTCCTCGTGCAAGGCAAACGCCCTACCCGCTGTGCTATCGCTCCAGCTGTTAGTAGTAATACAAATTGAAAAACCATTTGAAAAATGGTATAAAGTGGGATGGTTTACATAAACATCTTTATAAGACATATGTGCTCTGGAGAATCTTGAATCTATATTTTAGAACTGTTACAGCCACACTGTTTATAATAGCTTAAATTAGAAAGTATTTGTGAACAGTAACGTCAGGTTAACTGTGATGAAATAATAAAATCAATACCTATAGCTGGCAATACCTATAGCATGTAACTACTTGTAGACATTAAGCAGTTATTTGTATAATGTTTTACTTGAAAGCTATAGTTTGAATGGAAGAAAGCATTAAAGATGTATACAAGCATGATTCTATTTGTATAAGTTCAAAACAAATCTGGGAAAATTTGAATTCTCAAATCAATATTTGAGAATTTCTACATTTATAAATATATCATATTTATCATATTTATATAAATATCATATTAAATATCATAAATATCATATTTCTACATTTAGAAATCACTTTTTGACAGTTTAAAAAGTATACATAACACAAATGAATATATTAAGTATTACTAGTAGGATATGACTTTCATTTGTAATTTTAAATTAATACATTTAAATTAATACATTTATTTGAGCAAAAATATCTGGTGTGTTGATTCTTTATATCAAGGGGTAAAATGTAAGGGCATTTCATGTTTTGGTTACATTTATGTGGTGTTTAGGAAATGGAATTGGATCTGATTATAGACAATGTTGACTGTGGAAAAGAAATGCTTAAGGATGACTGAGGTTTTTATTTAAACATCAGAATAAATGCATTAATTGCAAGGTCGGGAATAAATTTAGAGCTTTTCTAACTTACCGAGTTTGGAAAATTCAGTTGAAGAGACTTGAGACATTCTAAGGAAGGAAGGAAGACTGGTTTATGAGATTATTAGGGAAGTGGCCTGGTAGGAGGATTAGATGATTTGCTTGTTGTTGAACAATCTCTACTTCTGTTTTTATTTTATACTTGTAAAGCTTGTGCTCTAGCTCACTGAACTATATCTCTGACTCTACCTTTATTGTTTCAATAGTTATCAACACTTGGTTTATTTCATTCCCTACCCCAATTTTTTTTCCAGTGAATTATTTTAATGTAAATTCCAAATGTGTGTATAGTTAAGAATGTTGTATTATAAATTTCCAGTGGAGACTGGAGTCATAACACAGTGGGTAGGATGTTTGTCTTGCACTCAGCCGACCCAGGTTTGACTCCCAGCATCCCAAATGGTCACCTGAGGACCGCCAGGAGTAATTCCTGAGTGCATAGCCAGGAGTAACTCCTGTGTATCGCCAGGTGTGACCCCCCAAAAAAAATTTTTTTTCTATTAAGTGTGAAATGATCAGTTGCACATATATTTTAGTTGGTGGTTTAATATAAAATTGTCCAGAGTAGTTTTGATATAAGTAATTATGAAGTAAGTTTTAACTTTATAAACTTGACATTTCTAATTTCAGGAAAAATTATAAAGTCTGTTCCTGGAAAACTAATTAAAGAGGTGAGTAATTGATTTATATATATTCTAGAACTTGATATTTCTAAGTATATTTAAGTATATGTTAGTTTTAATGGATTATGATACTAAAAATGAACATTGTTGTTTTAAAATTTTCATTCCATGATCTCTGTATTATTGTAGAAAGGTCAGCATTTGGAACCTTTCATCATGAATTTCATTAATTCTTGTGAATCTCCAAAGCCTAAACCAAGTAAACCAGAACTGACCATTCTCAGCCCTACTTCAGAAAATAATAAGAAGGTACTGCAGTTGGCCTTAAAGTATCATTAAGTTTGAAGTTGCCTTACTTGAAATGACTTTTTCATTTTATGGGGAATCTTCTTTAATTAATGGAGTATCTTATGTTAATGAAAATAGATTGAACTTTTCTTTTCTTTGGGTATTATGTTATATAATTTTAGGTGAGTAGTATGTAGTTTTGCTTTAATGTAGTAAATGTTCTTTGTGCTGTTTTATTTACAACATCTACCCTTCCTGCATTTGGAAAATTTCTTTAAAAAATTGTTTTCTTTAGACATTGTAAATCACAAACTTCCGATAATAGAGTATCCCAGTAATATATTTGTTATTTAATAGTATTGCCTCAGTTTAATGTTACTGAAAATACTTCATCCATTCATAAAGCAACTATTTTTCTGTATGCCAGCTATTAAGAGCTAGGCATGGAACTATAGAGATAAATTTTCTCTCCTTTCATTCTCCCCCTTCCTCTTTAGCTCTCTTCCTTCAGGGTCTCACATATGCAAAGCAAGTTCTCCTGAACTATATCATCTACCTTCCCTGTTCTTTAGAAACCCAGTTTAGTGCCAGAGTTGTACTTAGCTACAGTTAGCTGTGGGGCACAAAAGAGAGCCCTCTCCCTCCACTTTAAAAAAAAGCTTTGTTTTTGGGAACAGAGTGCTAGTACAGTAGATATGGCATTTGTCTTGCCACACAACCAACCTAGCTTAGATCCCCAGAACCTCCAGGAGTGATCCCTGAGCACAGAGTGCAGAAGTAAGCCCTGAGCACCACTGGACATGACTCCTCCTCCTGCCCCCAAACAAAACAAAAACCAACTTAATTTTTGATTTATATATGGACAGTACTTTAATAATATTTTTCCACTATTGTTGGTAAACAGAAATACAGTTTGTTGATCTATTCAGTAATCTCGCCAGACTTGTGGATTTTGTTGTTGCTGTTGTTGTTTTAGTTTTTTTAGGGCCACACCTGGTGGTGCTGAGGGCATACTCCTAGCTCTCTGACTAGGTGTCTTTCCTGGCTGGCTTGCGGATACCAGATGGGGTGCTGGGGACCAAACCTGGGTTGGCCACATGCAGGGCAAGCGCCCTACTCACTGTACTCCAGCCATGGGCTTTGCTTTTTGAGATTTTTAATTGTCGTCCCAATTTCTTTGCTTGTAATAGTCTGTTTAGATTTGTGTGTCTTGCAGATTCATTTTGGAAGGTAATGTGATTCTAAGAATATCTATTTCTTCTAGATTTTTAAAATTAAAATTGGAATACTGTATGACTGAAATCCAATCATGAACAGCTTTGTAATGGTCTATCTCACAGTGATTCAATAAAAATGTTTAAATTTTTCCCCTTTTTTCTATATAAATAAAATTTATTAGCACGCATCTGTACCTAGTATTCGTTTATGAACCTCTTACAAGTTTCTGGTATTTTCAAATTTATACTTTGAATTTCTTATTGGTCCAGTTGTTTCTCAGTAGTGTGTTGTGTATTTTCTTACATATATTTGAAATTTGTCCAGTTTTTCTTTCCTGGTTGATTTCTAGTTTTATAGCTCTGTGAACAAAAAAGATCCCTGCTATTATTTCAGTTTCTGTGAATGTACCAAACTTGGTTTGTGACCCAATATGTGGTCTGTTCTTAAGAATGTTCATGTGCTTGAGAAGAATGTGTACTTGACTTTGGGTAGCGTATCTGTGGATGTCAATTACACTCATCTAGTTAAATTTCTCACTGATGTGTACAGGTTATGTATCCATTGAGTTGAAGTCTTCAACTCCGTAAGAGTTGAAGTCTTCTACCACTTTTGTGCTACTATCTCTGTAGTTCTGCAAGTCTCTTAAACTACATTATGTATTTTGATGATATTTCTTTTAGTGTATATAATGACTGTATATGCATATTAGTCATCGTAATGATCCTTTCATCGATAAAAAGTGACAATCCCTATAGATGTGTCCTGGTGATAGAGTACATGTTTTGCGTATATTGGGCTCTGGCTCTAATTCTTGGCACCAAAAGAGCCAAAAACTAAAATGTGATATTCTTGAAGCAGGTATTAATTTATCTAATAATTCTGATTGGTTTAACCAATAGTTTTGATTGGTTAGAGTTTGAATGCCTTTGCTGCTTTTTACTTTAAATGAGATTAATAGCAGGGTTAGCTAACTATGTATCTCTGACATTTGAACTTTTATTTCAGCTTTTCAATGATCTGTTTAAGAATAATGCAAATCGTGCTGAGAATACAGAGAGAAAGCAAAATCAGAATTATTTTATGAAGGAAATGACTGTAGAAGGAGTCTATGATTACCTGATGTACCTCGGTAAGATCTGATTGCTTATTTGTTACAACTTACTTTTAACTTACCATATGTCATACATAATTGATGGTTTTGAGTATTATTCTGTCATAAATAACATTTTAATGTGTCTGTCCCAAACATGGTTACTAGTATTTACAAATAAAATATATATCATTGATATTTTTAGAAAATGTTCAGAATATTTATCATAACTATGTGATTCTTTGCAGGTCGAGTGGTTTTTCAAGTTCCTGACTGGCTTCATCATCTCTTAATGGGAACTCGAATCCTCTTTAAAAATACTCTGGAAATGTATACTGATTACCTCCTTCAGCATAAGCTAGAACAGCTATTTCAGGAGAACCGTTTGGTTTCACTCATAACAATTCTCAGAGGTTTGTATAGTCTCATGTTTTGTGTACTAGATGATTTTAATAAGATCTGAAAAAAATAAAATCTTGTTTTTATTCAGTTTTATTCGATATCTACTCTGAATAATTACTTTTGTGTATAATGGGTAGAATCTCAGTGTTTTCCTCTCTCTTTAGATGCTATATTCTGTGAGAACACTGAACCTCGTACTCTTCAAGATAAGCAAAAACGAGCAAAACAGACTTTTGAAAAAATGATGAATTATATGCCAGGTATGATATTTAAGAAGTTGTTTAACATATATTAACATTCCTTTGAGGTCATAGTGTATAATAATTATTGAGGCTAACTTTTTACTACTTTCTTGTTACTGTGTTTGGCATAACAAATACGTCACAGGTAGCTTGCCAGGCTTTGCCATGCGGGCGAGATGCTCTTGGTATCTTACCAGCCTCTCTGAGAGGGGCAGAGTAACAGGTGTCACAAAGGAGTTGTTACTGGGCCCACTCGAGCAAATCGATGAACAATGGGAGGACAGTGACAGTGACTACTTTCTTAAATTTTAGAAATTGAACTCAGTTAAATAAAAATTGTTTTTTATGATGTTTGTACTTGAAAGTTGTTGGCAAGGCTATTTCTACCTTCAAAAGCCAGATTCTCTATTTTTTGGCCATACCTGTCTGCACTCAAGGGTTACACTTGGCTCTACATTCAGGAATTGCTCCTGGTGGTGTTCAGGGGACTATGTGGGATGCCGGGGATTGAACCCAGGTTGACTGCATGCAAGGCGAGTGCCCTACCCGCTGTCCTATTGCTCCAGCTCCCAAAGCCAAATTCTTTAAACAGTAATTTGTAATGGATCATGCAAGTGGATAGATAGTTGGAAATGTAGTAAACATTTAGATACTGAAGTTTGAAAATTAGCAAAACAGTGATGTATAGGACAGAGTTATAGGGGTCATGGGTTAGTGAACAGTGACATTTGTGAAGAAACATAGTGTGCTAATTAAATAGAGTACTTCAGAAATTGTACCTTAGAGGGTCCGGAGTGATAGTAGTTCATAGGGCACTTGCCTTGCATGTGGCCAACCCAAGTTTGATCCCTGGCACCCCAGATGGTCTGAAGTGATCTCTGAGTGCAAAGTCAGGAATAAAGCTTGAGCATCTCTGGTTGTGGTCCAGAAACAGGAAAAAAAGAAAAATCATACCTTAGAGAATTCTCATAATTTTTAAAGAAATAATTTAAAATTTATTAAAAGACCCCAAGTAGCTCAAGCAACTTTGGAAAAATAATTTGGAACCATCATGTTACTCAAATTGTATTGCAGAGTGATATAATTGGTAGTAGAATAAAAATCAGGAATGGAATTAGGATCTCCAAAATTTACCCACATTCATATTGACAAACTCTGACAAAAGTACCCAAGATCATATAGGTGTTGGAAAAATGGAAGAGCCACTCTCAGAAGAATAAATTGCGTGATTCTTTAATTCTTTATACAGAAGTAATTCAATATGGATTAAGAACCTGGATATATAAGACCCAAAACTATAAAATACATTAGGAAAAACCATAGGTTAGGTATTCTATAAAATCACATATTCCATGATGCCGTTGGGGACTTCACCTTAATGATTAGAGAAATTAAAAGGCTTCTGCATGGTAAGAGAAATTAGCATGGAACTAAAGGTACTATACTATGCACCCAAGAAGTTTTGTATCCAAGGTTTATGAAGAACTTATCAACTCAGCAACAGCAAAAACAAATAACGCCATATAAAAATAGGCAGAATATCTAAATAGACACTCGAGAGAACATAAAGATGACCAACAGCCGAAGAGAAAAGGCAGATCACTTATCACGGAAATGTAAATCAGAACAACAGTGAGCAGACCCGTGAGGTGACTCAGAGGACGAGAGTAGGTGCTTTGCATGCAGGAGCTCAGGTTCAGTCTCTGGCACCACATGATCCCTTGTGTGGATCGTGAGCTCTGTGCTCTGCATGATTTGGCCCCAAAGCCTCAGAAAACAAAATAAAAAGCCAAGATGACTGTTATCTCTATCTGTGAGGTAGGTTTACATCAAAGAGGTTAATAGCAAGGATAGATTGGTGAGAATGTAGAACAAGAAACTACAGACAATGTTGGTAGGAATGAAAATTAGAGCACTCATTTTAGAAGCCAGTATGCAGTGTCCTGAAAAACTGAAGTAATCATACCAAAGCAGTTTCACTTTGGATTTCTATTTTACGACGGAAATAATTTAACTTGAAGAGTTAAATGCACCTCAGTTTTTATTGCGTTATTTAGATAGCTCAATGAAAACTCTAAGAACTATGGATAAAAATGTATAGTATTTGGCTATTAAAAAAAGGATGGAATTTGCCTTTTAAGTTAAAAATAGGAAGAAAGCTAGTTTCAGAATAATCCTGTTTCTGTTAGGAAGATAAGTTAAATTCCTGGTCTGAATTTAAAGGTAAACAAAACCTATTTTTCAGTAGGTTTTTTGGTGGTTAAATGATGAGATAATTTGTTTTATATTACAGCAATACTTGGCATTCATGGCTTTGCTAGTCTTAGTTTTGATTCAGGAACTCTTAGAAACAACAGGGAAAGGCATTAAATAATTTGTTATTTTACTGATGCACAAGTTTGAATCCCATATACATCAAGACTTTCATTTGGGAAGGAAACATTTAGCTAGTGAGAAAGCTTAGCATGCCTTTCTGTTGCCCTTTCTTCTCATGTCTTGTTTAGTCACTTCTAAAGGATCTTCAAAGATCACTTATTTTTATCTATCACGCTTTACACATTTTATTTGGGAAATTCTGTGTGGTATCGGTGAATTAGAGGAGTCACAAAGATCAACATTAGTCCACATATCTTAAAAATACAAAGACTCTATTCTGGGCTATTGTAAATCGAATTTGGACTTTGCCACTTAGACTTATCTCATAAAACCAACTAAACCACTTCTCAAAAATGTGAGCATTCATGAATAGCATTAAGAATATCAGTTTGATTGGGGGGCAGGGGAAACATAAATATTTTAGTACCTTGCTAAGAGTAATTTTCTTGAACCAGAGGGAGAGCTCAGTGGGTTGGAGCACAGGCTTTGCCTGTGGGAGGCCTGGGTTTGATTGTTTGATCCCCTGTAGCGTGTGGTCCCCAAGTGTTGTGGGAAGTGATCTGGAGTGGCCATTTGGGAGTGGCCCCAAGCAAACAAAAAGAATAGTTTTCCTGCTTAGGGGAAACATCAAGTAGCAATTTTAATAAGAGTTTGCTCTTTTGGAAGGAGGAGTAAGGTATCAGGGCCTCAGTTATACCAGTGATACGAGTATGTTCAAAACGCAGATTCAGCCGGATTGAAAACCTGAGATCTAAGCAGCAACCGCTGCAACCCTGCAATGTGCCTGTCAAGTTTACAGGGGGGCGTTGAGTGAGAGTTGGAGTGGGGAGGGAAACTGGGAACCCTGGCGGAGGGAAACTGACACTGGTGGGGGAATTTCGGTGTTGAATTTTTTATTGTATGCCTAAAACACAGCTATCAGTAACTATAAATCATGTCTCTTCAATAAATTTTTTTAAAGAATTCACTCTTTCTGTAACGAACTGATATATAACAGCTGTACAGTCTATCAAAAATATGAAGTTTTTAGATCCCAAGTTAGTGTTTTAAATTTTCCTAAAGTGTTGATCGTTCAGATGGTGAAAAGTTATTAGTAAAAAAGTAGACATGGAACTGGAGTGATAGCACATTGGTAATGGCATTTGTCTTTCATGTCCCAACCTGGGTTCAATCCTTGAAATCCCATATGATCCCCTGAGCATTGCCAAGAGTAATCCCTGAATGCAGAGCCAGGAGTAGCCCCTGAGCACCAATGGGTATGACCCCAAACCAAACAAAACAAAAGGCATAGAAGTGAAGTCAGATTCACTGAATAAAGTAGATGTTAAAATTAGCTTTTGTTGTTAAGATGTTAAAGCATTATAAGGAGAAATATGTAGAATAAAAAGTAGAAGCTATCATCTCCATACTGTGCAGAAATAGCATTTCAGTTGAGTGTACTTTTCTCTCCATTTCTCTACTTGTATACTGATGAAATGTTCATTTTCAAGATTTTGTTTGACCCCAAATGGGCTCATACAATACATAATTATTGTTAATTTATTTTGGGGCCATACCAACAGTGCTTGGAGTCACTTCTGGTGGTGGCTTTAGGGGCCAGGCAGCATTAGAGATTCAACCTGGGTCTTCGACATGGAAAGCAAGTACTCTAGTCTTTAAGCTGTAGCTCTCAAACCCACCATATGTATGATTTTCCAGCTCTCTGTTTATTGCTTAATACTGTAAGCATATTTATTTATTGCAACGTTCTCATCATACACTATGCTTTGTGCACAATAAAAGACTACAATACTGCATTTATCAACTTGACATAAAACCCTTTGCTTTAGGTATTATCTTTTCAGAATATTGCTTTAGGAGTACTGATTTATAGTTTCTGCATAATAGCTATAAAACAGGGTAGAGATTTTTGCTTTGCCATCTAGATAATGGTTAGTCACTTAATATAAATTGCTTTACTTGTCACTTTCTTGTTTAGATTTGATTGTCAAGTGTATTGGTGAAGAAGCTAAGTATAAAGGCATCAGAATTCTTTTCGATGGCTTACAGCAGCCAGTTCTCAATAAGCAGGTAAATTCATTAAGTGGGTTGACTAGCCTTGATTTAGTTTCATGAACAGAAAAATAGGATATTTGGTATATAGATAACTCTGAAGTGGAGTGACACTGTTCTAAATTGAAGCAGTGCAACTCTTGAACATTCAAATAGAGTACTGGAGGGGCTGGAGCGATAGTACAGCGAGTAGGGCGTTTGCCTTGCACGTGGCCGACCCAGGTTCGATTCCCAGCATCCCATATGGTCCCCCGAGTACTGCCCGGAGTGATTCCTGAGTGCATGAACCAGGAGTAACCCCTGTGCATCGCCGGGTGTGACCCAAAAAGCAAAAGCAAAAAAACAAAACAACCCCCCCCCCAAAAAAAAAACCCCAGAGGACTGGAGTAATTAATCTAGGGGTAAGGCACATACTTTGCATACAGCCTACTACCTACTTAGAGTCCCAGCAATGCATATGGGTCCCCTGAGCACTATTTTAGTAAGCCGTGAGCACACTGTCCCCGTAACCCTCCAGCCCTATCCCCCCAAAATACTCTGTTCAAATAGAAAAAGTTGGGGCTAGAGAGATAGTACAGTGAGTAGGGTGCTTGCCTTTCACGTGGCCAATCTGGGTTTGATCCCTATGATCCCCTTGGGTCTTGCCAGGAGTGATCTGTGAATCACAGAGCCAAGAGTAAGGCCTGAGCACAGTGGGATGTGACCCAAAAATAAAAAGTAAAATTTATTTGACTTTTTCTTTTTTTTTGTTTTTGTTTTTGGACTATACCTGGTGATGTTCAGGGGTTAATCTTGGCTTTGAACTCAGGAGTTACTCGTGGTGAATGCTCAGGGAAACATACAGGATGCTGGGGGTCGAACTGGGGTTGAACAAGGGTCGGCCGTGTGCAAGTCAAATGACTGTACAGTCAGTACACCATTAACTGCTGTACTACTATGTATGCTCTGGTCTCCTGTAGTTTATATCTTACTTTTTGCTGATTACCTTTTCTTTATAACATGACTCATTTTTGTTTAAAATAGATAATAATCTTCGTATTTGGAATTTATAGAAAATTTATGGAATATGTCACTGTCCTCCTGTTGTTCATCGATTTTTCTCGAGCGGGCCCAGTAACGTCTCCAGTGTGAGACTTTGTTGTTACTATGTTTGGCATATCAAATACGTCAGGGGTAGCTTGCCAGGCTTTGCTGTGCGGGCGAGATACTCCGGTAGCTTGCCAGGCTCTCCGAGAGGGGCGGAGGAATCGAACTCAGGTCAGCCATGTTGGCTGCATGCAAGGCAGATGCCCTACCCGCTGTGCTATCACTCCAGCCCATGGAATTTGTAAAACTATAAAACATAGGGTTTAGTTATTGAGTTATACAGAATAACCACATGTAACGTTTTCATGTTTATACATAGTTTATTGAGATCGTAACTTCAGGTTATAGGCATCATAGGATGTCGTCCACATGTGAATATGTGCACTCAACTCCATCTCTTTTTTTTGTTTTGTTTTGTTTGGGGGCCATACCAGGCAGTACTACTCAAAGGTTACTCCTGGTTTTCCGCTCAGGAATTACTCCTGGCAGAGCTTAGGATTCCATGTGGGATGCCGAGGTTGATCCTCAGTTAGCCATGTGCAGGATAAACACCTTACTCACTCTGTTATCCCTCCAGCCCCTCAACTCTCATCTTAAGAACAAAACCTTGTTTCTATTGAAGCAACTTTATGCTTGTTTTATTTATTTATTTGTGGGGGTACACCCAGTGGTGCTTAGGACTTAACTCATGGCTGAATGCTCAGTGATCACTGCTGATAGGCTTGGGGGACCATATGGGATGGTGGGGATCAAACCCTAGTTGCCTGCATGGAAGGGAAGGCAGGCACCCTATCCACTGCATATCTCTCCACTGTCATTTTATGCTTGTTATATACACTTCCTTCCTAAATTTCTGCACTCCTGAGTTTTCTGTTTTACCATTTTATTGATTTGTCTGTAACCAATTTTTTGTGTGTGTCACTTTAGCTAACTTATGTTTTATTGGACATTGTGATACAAGAACTGTTTCCAGAGCTCAATAAGGTAAGTGAGAAGCACCAATTTTATTTTAGTTTTCAAATTTGTTTTAATTAGATCCATTACAGGGAAACCTTGTGACTCTGATACTTAGCAAATGGATCTTGATGCTTTATTTGTACAACATGCTCAAACATAGAATGGATTTTGGGGGTCAGTACTGAATAGCTTCTGCCCTGATTGCTTGCCCTAAGATAGCCAAAGTTGTGAGTTTAAATTCTGGCACTGGAATAGGATCAGCTCTTTAGGTTTTCAAGTCAGACTGGGGCTATTTTCTTTCTTTTCTTTCAGCTAGGCCAGGGATTGAACTGGACCAATACCAATGCCAGGTATTGTCTCTACTGCTGAGCTACATCCCTCACTAACAGCCTTGAATATTTGTAAAGCAGTTAAATTCAGTGAATCCACGAACAGAAGATGAACTAGAGTTAGAGGATGGTAGACTGAGTCTTGTGAATTTGAATTTTTAGCAGAGCTTTATTATTTTTTGCTTTTTTATTTTTGGACTAATCCTTTTGCTGAGCTGAAGTAAATTTACATGTGGGATGTGCTTTAACAGTGAAATGTTGATTTTATAGAGAAGAGGAAGTGAATTTGGACTACTTAACCTGTGAAAAGCTTTTCAGTTATAATATGCATATTAAAACAGGTGGCACTTACAGGTATATGTTTAAATTATCTAAAAATAAGTACCAGGATGGGACAGAGAGATAGTACAGTGGGTAGGTAGGTTAGGGTGCTTGTCTAGCATGGGGCTGACCTGGGTTTGATCTCCCGCATCCCATATGGTTCCCCGAGCACTGCCAGGAGTAATTCCTGAGCACAGAGCCAGAAGAAAGACCTAAGCATTGCTGGGTATGGCCCAAAAACTTAAAAAAAAATGTACCAGGAAACTTAAACTCTGCTTAACACTATAAAGTCTATAATAATACCTTATCATTTTTTATCTCTAAAAAAGTATCTGTGGCATGTACTAGTTTCTTTTGTAATGCAGATTTAATTGTGTTTTGGAATATTAATGAACTGTTAGGCAATTCACAAATGAATCTATGTTATTGCCTTTTATTAAATAGATTTATGTTTACTTTAGATACAAAAAGACGTGACCTCTGTGACATCCTGGATGTAAGAGTTTGGATTTGGAATAGAATAACCGGTTGAAATTTCTGCTTTCCTAGTGTGGTGGATATGTACTTTTTTCTTTTACTTTTGTATATTCTTGTATATATCATGAAATTTGGTGTCTGAAATTTTGATTTTGTTTTAATAAAGACTAACAAAAATAATGATTAAGAGTACTTAAGTATCATGGTCTTTCATTTACACTTGTTACCCACATTGATGTAGAAAATGTCTTTTATTCTTATTTTTTTCTGTGCAGGGATTTAAACCAAAGGCCTCACACTTGCAGGAATGCAGGGCAAGTGTTTTGTTACTAAATCTCTCTGGCCATATTGCCTTTTTCCTCCCTTAATGCCAAAAGTTGTTTTTTGTGTTTATTTTACATTTTGGGGGACCATACCTAGTGATGCTCAGGGGTAACTCCTGGCTCTGCACTCAAGAATTACTCCAAGAGTTGTCTGGGGACCATATAGGATGTTGGGGTTCAAACCTGGGTTGGTTGTGTGCAAGGCAAGCACCCAAGCTTGTGTACTCCGCCCCCACCCCCAAAAGTATTTTAACACTGACAATTAGAAGGGGATTAGAGCCCAAATCCTCTGTTTGGTTTGCTAGTTCACCTGTAATGGCACACTTTGCTATTGTTGAAACACTAGAAGTGATTCAAAGCGTAATGCAAGCAGTGGGGGCTGGTCAGGCTGTCAAGGAGCTGCACTTAGCCTGCTGGCCCATCCTCTTTCCGTAAGTTTAGGTCTGCCCTTACATTGGTGATGTCCCAGGAGCTGCCTTCAGCCTTGTCTTTTCAAGAGCAGAACTCCAGTGAAACCAGCATTCCTTGCTATGGTACTTTCTGTTCTGGGAGAGCTTACAGAAGAGCCATGAAGGGGAAATTAAAGATTTATTCGTACAATGAACAATGGGAGGACAGTGCTACAGTGCTATGTATCTTGTATATTACTATAAATATTGCCTACCATAACTTTTACCTAGTTGCCATATTATAACGTGACTAATACCTCTAAAAATTGTACAACATGGCAATTTCAATGCACTGCTTTTGTACTTGGGGGTTAGTGATTCTTTTAATAATGTGAAAATATTATTGTAGTTATTATTTTCTTTAATTTTGAATGATTTCCAAGACAGACATTTGTATATAAAATATTATTCTCTTAATTGTATCCCATTGATATTATAAGGAAAAATAATTCTTTTTTATAAAGAAAACAGGATTATTCTGTAAAAAAAAAAAAGATTTATTCGTACAAGATAGTGCAGGTGTTGGATACAATTTAAATGACCCCTGACCTCAGCTGAGCAGTCACTTAAAGTTTGTGAGCATGCACAAGTGTAAAGAAAAGAGCAAAATAGAATTGTAGATGAGTACAAGCTATCAAATTCATTTGGAAGAAAAAGAGAGACGAAGCGGCAGAGGCAGAAAGGACTGCCAGTTGGTTGTTTTTGGTTTTGTGCCGTACCTGGCAATGCTCAGGAGAGTAACTCCTGGTGGTGCACAAGGGTCCGTATGGGATGGTGGAGACTGAGATTCCCTACCCTCTGTACTGTCACTCTGGCCCCAGGATTGCTAGATTTTTAAAAGAGTTCATAAATCTCTGGTGCAAACAGGTAGGTAGGACCTATAGCTCTTACATTGTGTCACTTCGAAAATAACTGTGTTCATTGTGGAGAAACAGGAGTAAGATCTGATTTACTTTTCTATTTAGGGCTAATATGTTTTATTAGATTTATTTCTCTATGTGGTTAACTGTTAACTACATAGTTAACTGTGAAGAAGATACATTATGCGAGTTTGTGGAGAGCTGTGGCCTTGGGCAAGGATGAGGTTTTGCTCTGAAAGTTCCTGGGAGTCATGGTGAGAGGTTGGGGATCACTCCTGGCAGGGATGGGGGGGCCATATGCATTGCTGGGGATCAAGGTATGCAAAGTAAGCTCCCTACCTGCTGTACTATCATTCTCCCCTCCCCCCCATTTAATTTTAAATGCCTTCTAAAGTAGTTATCTCCCAGTGTAATCCCCCTGAGGATTAGAGATTCATATCATGAATTTTAGGACAACAGTACAATCCATAGTAGAGTTTTGACTTCATTTAAAGAAAACATGATAAAATAACAGTTCTAGCACAGTGGTAGGGCGTTTGCCTTGCACGCAGCCAACATGGCCAACCCGAGTTCGATTCCTCCGCCCCTCTCGGAGAGCCCGGCAAGCTACCGAGAGTATCTCGCCCGCACGGCAGAGCCTGGCAAGCTCCCTGTGACGTATTCGATATGCCAGACACAGTAACAACAAAGTCTCCAATGGAGACATTACTGGGCCCGCTCGAGCAAATCGACGAACAAGGGGAGGGCCTTTACCTTTTACCTTTACCTTTACAGTGAAAAGTAATCTTGGGGCGGGAACAGTAATGCAATAAGTAGGGTGCTTGCACACTGCCAACTGAGTTTGATCCCAGCACACCGATACAGTCCCCTGAGCCCTGCCAGGGATGATACCAGAGTGAAGAGCCAGGATAAGCCCTGAGCATTCCCCATGTCTGTCTCTCCTCCCCTCCCCAAGTAAGCCTTCCACATTATGGAAGGAAAAGGAGCTGGGTGCTAGATGCAATAGAATTGGTCAGACATAACCATAGATTTTTATCAATCATAGATTGTGAGGTAGTATTACTTTCCAGATGGAAGTATAAGAGTTGGATACAATTTAAACTTAGATCACTCTGTAATTTTTTTCCCATATTAAAGTGGTCTAACATAAACCTCCTAAAATGATGCCTAGTTTAAGTTTCATATAGAAAATGCCTGACAGGCTGAGACTGTTCCTCCCAGGACCATCAGCTATGCTGGCGCTGCTCGCATAAGTGTCCAGAACACTGTAGAGACCCCACTGTAGATCAGTTCTGCTGTTTAATTCCCAGAATTGATCCCACTACTCCCGAGTATAAATTTGAATTATTTTGTATGCATATCTCTTTATTCCTGTGATTGGCTCTGAGCATGTGGTATACAACTAACTCCTTTCCCAGAACTGGCTGCCGGTCTCCTGCTCACCTACCTCCCAGAATGAGCTAATCTGTAAGAAGCAGAAACTTAAGCAGCCCAGAAACACAATAAAAGACTCCCTAATGCTGCTAAGTGGGTCTCTCTGGAGGCCCCCACTGTGGAGTCTGGCCAGTGCACTCTCAGTAAACTTACTTTGTTCTTGCCTCAAATCATCCGCTTTTCTGGTAATTCACCACGCCACCCCTCAGAGCCAATGGGCCTGGGTTCCTTTGAACAGCTTCCATCCTTTAAAGTTCCTTATTACAGAAGGAGATTTCAGTTGCAAAAGAATTCATTTTTTCTCTGTGTATGAGCTTTCCCTCGTTTCTTCCCCTTTAATAGTGTTGTTGTGACTGGTATGACACATGCACCTGGCTCTTTTATTTTTTTAAATTTTTATTAGTGAAACACCATGAGGTACAGTTGTAGACTTACAAATTTTTGTGCTTGGGTTTCAGTTATACAATGATCCAGTATCCATCCCTCCACCAGTGCCCATTCTCCATCATTTACATTCTTTTTTTAAATTTTTGTTAGTGAAACACCATGAGGTACATCACACCCAGCGATGCTCAGGGGTTACTCCTGGCTCTGTACTCAGGAATTACTCCTGGCGGTGCTCAGGGGACCATATGTGATGCTGGGAACCGAACCTGGGTCGGCTGCTTGCAAGGCGAACGCCCTAACCGTTGTACTATTGCTCCAGCCCCACCCCTGGTTCTGGTGCTTGCTCTTTGACTTGTTTGTACCTGAAGGTCACACACCAGGCTGCAGTGTTCCATCCCAGCTGCATGCTCTGTGAGTGTTGTGCTTTCTGTAGTCATGTGCATCCACGTGCTCCCCAGGAGTCAAGCTGGCCATAGTGATCACACACTAGCTGTTGGGGCTCATTTCTCTAGTTGTGGTGCTCTCACACAAAGGTTCATGTGTGGCCAAAAATGACTCAACGGCAGAGCTCCCTGGTTCAAACACCAGAACCACTTCAGTGATGTTTGGTGTAGACAGCAGCACCAGGGTCTAAGCTCAGCTTTAAACCTGCAAAGCAGGTGTTCTGAGCCACCCTCAGTATCTCTTTCAGAAGTTTTTAGGTGGAAGTGATAGGACAGGGGTTAAGATGCTTGCCTGGCATGTGGCCAACCCTGGTTCAATTCCTGGGGCTACGTGGTCCCCAGAGCCCCATAGGGAGCAACATCTAACCCAAGCACAGAACTGGGAGTATCTCTCAAGAAATGCTAGTTGTGGCCCAAATCACAACCCCTCCCCCCATTAACATGAAAATTTCCCTGCGTTTCAAATACTTGTACAGCCCTTTCTGTTTTTGCGTCTACCACTACTGCATGAAATTCACATTTTGTCATGTATGCAGAGAAACAGTGACAAGTATCTCTGGTTGTAGAGTGAAATTAGAAGATAAAACATTGAAATTTATAAAGGATATTGCAAGATTGTGTTTAATACTTTACATTTTCAGCAGAATCTGATAAAAGATTGAAAGCGAGCTCTTAAATGATCATTTATTTGCTGAAAACATTAACTTTTGCAATAGAAATATGAACAAGTGGTTTGCCACTGTTCTTAGCAGACTATAAATCAATATTACATGTATGTGTATATAACATATACGTATTATAATTTCAGGTCCTGTCAACAACTACCACCTGTGTTTTCTTTTGTGTGTATTATTAAGTAGTGATCTAGTTCATTTTCTTTTACACATGACAGTACAGTTTTACCAACACCGTGTGTTGAAGAGACTTTCTTTTCTCTATTAATTGGACTTGGCTCCTTTCTTTCTCCCCTTTCTGTCCCCCCTCACCCCCCTACCCACTGCCTTTCCTCTAAGGTAAACAGTGTTAGCAGCATCGAGGATCAAGTTAGGTTTGGTGATGTTCAAGGCAAGTCTCTTAGTCTCTGTACTATCTCTCCAGTTTTACTTATTTTCTAATTTGGATTTCCTTTCATATCCAAATTAAGCAGGGGGAGGAAACAATATCCAGTGGTGTTCAGAGACTATTCCAGCTCAGGGCTTTGGGTCACTCCTAACAGTGCTGGGATGACCCATGGTTGTTGGGAATTAATTGAACCTGGGCCTCCCACATACAAATCATGTGCTCTAGCCTGTTGTC